AGATGGGGAGAAGTCAGTGCAAGATGGGTGATGGACTGACCTCGAAGCTGGATAAGTGGGGGTTGTATGCTCCATCTGGCTGAGTGGTGCTTTAATAGGGTACCTGGGGACAAGGCCTCTGGCGCTTACACCATACCCCTTTTCCCATGTCCTGAAAGGGGATGACAATCCTCTCAGAAATTTCATGGCAAGCAATATCAATAGATGTGCAAACGTGCTTCAAGGGCACTATTTCTAGGAATTGCTGTGTGAAATGTCTTTTGTGTCCTTGTAAGATGGTGATGTAGAGTTTCATCTTGGTTGTATTGAGTTTTTCTGAGCATTTACCAGCCTTCAAATTTTATTAAAGGCTGTTGCCAATATGAAGTAACTGCTGACCTTTTCTCAGTATTATAAGTGCTGGGAATGTAGCGGAATGGGAGGGTATTTTTGTTAGGAATTTCTGCTTTCAGATTGTGTTCTTTGAAGCGTGTGCAGGGAGGCTTCTCCTTTCATGCAGTGTCATGCCTGACCCAGCTTTCCCTGTCAATGGTAGTTCTTGGGCATAGATGTCAACATTGCGTTACCAGTTACAGAGTCACATATGTGCCCAATGGCCCAGGTGCTGACGGTGAATGATGGTGTCTCTGAGCTGATACCGACGACTGACTCTTTAACGGAGCTGCATATCACTTACGCTCTTTAGACCATTTTGGTTTTCTTCTAATGTTTGTGATGAGAAGTCCCCATGCATGTGTCTGTATTGGGATCCTTGTTCTCCCAAGGAGAAGTTTTGTGGGAAACATTTCTTTCAGTGATGTCTTGAGGAGAATCACGGACTCCGGCAACTCTATGAGTGAGAAATCAAAATCCCCTAACTGCCGATACAAGTGCGTTTATAAATCTTCCTAGCAACTGGTCACACATAAACAGAAGGCTTGATTGGTTCCATGCGTTCTTCACACACTGGTCACATGCCTAAGATGAACATTTGGTTAGTTATTATCCCCTGTCCATAATACACCAGACAATTCATTGGCTACAATTAGTTACTGCTATCCTAAGCCTATTGGTTAATTAAATCTTACAAGCACAAACACAATGTTCTATACACTTTTAGCTCAAGGTAGAACACTTTCCACTGTTTAAGAAGAGACCAGATGTTTCCCATCAACCGTAGCCTGGCATGTTTTCTTCAGGCAGATCTCAGCATCCTTATCTTGTTTTCTACAATCCCGCTTGCTACTTCCAAGGCTTCTGGCCGACAAAGGCCAAATTGTTCTCATCATTCACCAGCTGTGCAGCACCCTCAGTTCTTCTTCCTCTTTTTGCGCCCCCTTTGCGATGTACCCAAAGTCCTGCTTTTGTCCGACATGGCCATTGTCCTCCAAAAATGATACCACAACGTTTGTCTGCCAAGTTAGCTTCCCTGTTGTGTGATGTTTGCGCACACTGAAGCATCCTGTCTGCACAGAGACAGGGCAAGTGGAAGAGTTCGCTGTGGTGTAGTTTGAAATGCCTAAAAGGTAGGTATAAAAGTTTACTTTTTCAAACTTTTAATGTGAGCCCCATAATTGTGGTCCAGTGTATTTTCCTTCTCTCTTTGTCCAAGGAAATGAGTTTTAGAAATGTGGTTGTGGTCTCTGGTGTGAAGTCCTCTGTGATCCTCCCGTGAACTTTTTACCACCTAGACAATTTTCTTGTGTACCCACTACATTTGACATAATCTGAAATGCTCAGCTACGAGTCCTTCACTTCTGTGGGTTTCACATTCCTTCCTTGTTTCTTCTCATGTTCTGAAAGTGGGCCTGGTTTTGCCTGGAAGTCCATAAAAGTAGCAATTTGTTGAAGTTCTCAGGTTGAGGGAGCAGCTTCTATGCCACCTTGAAGGTGTTGTATTGCCAGGAGAAAGACTGGTGGCTGATGCACGGCCAAGAGTTGGATATTGTCGGTGGTGCAACTAAGGGACATGAATGGAGAGAGAGGAAGGTGAGGGGCTGGGTTCTGACCATCGATATAGGTGGGGCAGTGTGGTTTAGGCTGGAGAATGGTTTGAGATGATGCCTGGTGGTGAGGCGTGTGCCATTTATGTTATGCTCGTAGCTTTGCTGTCCATAATGGTAATGGTAATCCTCTGATAATCAAGTACTTGAGCATTGGTGTGTACATAGAACAATGATGCCAGGGTAGAAGATCTTCTAATTTCTGTGTGTGTAAAACCTCCTTTAACCATGACTATGTCCCTGCATCATTGTGATGTGTTTCGCCATTTCTGGACAGTGCTTTTGCATCTGGAACCATGTGAGTGTTGTTTTAGACCAAATGCTTATTTAAACCACCTAAGACTAATTTTGATTTGGGAGGAAAAAAACCAAAATCTACACAAGATTCTCTTATTTTTGTCTTAGCTTGAGAAAGAGGCCCATGACAATGTGTTTTCACTTGCAGCACTTTATTAGTAGGGAGACTGAAAGCCAGGGAGAAGAAGAAATGAAGTGAGAGGTGATGAATAAGTCATAAAAAGAGCGCCCGGCTATGTAGTGCAGAGTAAGGCTTTAAGGTCGCATCTGTGGAGAGGAATTGGTTTGATAAAAGAGAGGAGGAGCTTCCACCTAAGTCACTACTTGGATGGTCTGTTCACTCTTGGATGACCGCTCTTATTTTAATTCAGCCATTCCTCATTCATGTGTTTGAGAACCCTCTGTTTCTCCTGAGAATGCTGGTGAGCAGAGAAGTTACTCCCTTCTTCGTGATGATTGTGATCCATCATCATCACACGATACTGTTGTTGACAATTCTGAGAAGGTGAGGAGCAAACCTGCAAGTTGCGTAGTTTTGGAGATAAAACTCATGGGAGATCTGGTGTTGGGGTGCAGAGTTGGTGATTTCTCTGCTTGTCATAGTTACTCCCTTACACACACGACTGTGGTACCGTGCATCCAATTGGAGTTGCTTCTGCTCAGCAAGTGTGGCCCTAAGAAATGTGATTGCACCTGGTCCCTTCAGTTCCGTATGAAGAGATGAGGGGTTAGTGACGGAAGGTGTGCAGGGTGTCCCCAACACGGTCACCCAAAACATGCTGGCCCCTGAGTGGAGAGAGATGGGTTTGATGGGTGGCCTGGGAGCTGGATGAGGAACTGGCTGGATAGCCGCATCCAAAGAGTTCTAGTCCATGGCTCAGTGTCCAAGTGGAAACAAGTGCCGTGTCCCTCAGGCATCTGTACTCGGAGCAGTGCTCTTGAACGCAGATCAGTGATATCGTCAGCAGTGAGAGAGACAGTGGGAATAAAGCAACTTCTGATAAGCTGTGGATGCCCCATCACGGTAAGTGTTGAAGGAGAGAGGGGACAGGGCTTTGAGCACGTTGAGCTGGGGAAGGATGTCCCTGCCTATGGTACGGGGGCTGGGTGGTGGTGGGCTATGACATCTTTATGATGTCTTCCAACAAATATCATTCTTTGGTTCTATGGAATAGCTGACCTGACTCTGCGCTTTGCCGTTATCAAGCCCTCATATATGAAGACACAGAAGGACAGAGCTTCTGTTTATCAGAAACACATTCATAAAGGCTGCTCTGCTATCTGCCCATAGAGGTAGACACATTGTCTTTGATGGGATCTATTTGTCCGTGTAATCGTTCTTCTCCCTACAAGAAAAATCAACAGTGGGACTAGCATCAGAGACTTCCATGAGCAAAAGGAGGCAATGCACAGAAACACTTTGCAGTTAGAGTTCCATCTTGATTACAGTAACAGCAGCTGAGGTGCTTCTGTTCCTGCTCTGCCAGGACTGTTTGCCTGCAGCTCAGGGAGGTGAGGAACAAGTCCCCGGCAGCCGATCGTGGCTTTTCCCGCATCCGGTCCCTCAGCCACTTGATCTGTTGTTATTGCATCTGCCTGATGGTTGACCTGCAGAGGCTGTTCCCACCTTGGATGAATATAAATGTGTATATATTATACAAACCCTAGAATTCTGTGGACAATCAAAAAGGAAAATCACACGTGACAGTCCTTCACCTTTGCTTTTTCATCCATTATTAGCGGTGTCTTTGGAGGCACCAATAAATGGCAGCCAGCAGTGGCAGCCGTAGTGCGAGGGGTTAACTTGGTGTGGATGGGAAGTGCTGATCCTGCCTCCCTGAGGGAAGGAGCAGAATCGGGAAGGCCCATCCTCTGAGAACAGATCTAAACCGACCAAGAAATATGCAAATCGGCAGCAATTCGGCACTTAACAAAGTCCACCACAAGGAAGAGATGAATACTTTCCTGCCAATCATCAATGTTTTACACTGTAATTTCAGGGGGAAAGAAAGTGAAGTTCTTGATGCCTGTGGTGATGAGCCTGTTAACTCTGCTCCTGTGTGTTTGCGTGTGTGTGTCTGAATATCACGTTTTATACTGAAAAGCCTCTTTTCCTGCCGTTCTACAAGCCATTCCAGCAAATCTACTTCAAAAATCCGCTCTGGAGAATGTGTCAGAAACTCGGAATATTCCAGACGTCATAGTAAAAAATAATAATAATAATAATAATAATAAAAGTATTTTCCGTGAGCTATCTGTCCATTGGAAGCGATTCTTCCCGTGCTCCACAAGTAGCAGACATCGCTGACGAAGAGAAGGGCGCCGAGGAGAAAAGCCCACGCAGGAAATCCCGGGTGTCCGTTGGAGGGCGGATCTTCATCGCTGCTGGTTCTGTCGGCCGGGGCGGGGGGAATGAAGGCGGCTGGAGGGCGCGCTTTGGATGTGCAGAGAGGGAGAGGGCAAAGCCGTGCGCCCGGACTGCTCCCCGAAGCTGTGCGAGTGGCGGAGGAGGTTGTGCTGCGGGGGCTTCCCGAGGGGCTTCGAGTCGTCGCACTGGACGCGTCGGATCGGAGACGACCTTCGTGGGCGCTGCGAGTCGGTTTGTCGGCGCGGCAGAGAGCCCACGGTCACGGGAGGGCTGTGCCTCGGCGGTGTCCGGTCTCGGTCGGAGGAGGAAGGAGGAGCTCGGGGGGCGAAGCGGCCGCGGCGGAGCTGAGCGGCGGGCGGGCAGCGCCGCGTCCGTGGCGCCGGGGCCGTCCCCGCGAGCTGTCCGTGGGCAGGGCAGGGCAGGGCAGGGCGGGCAGCGCTCGGCAGCGCTCGGTGCCTGCAGTGCCGGGAGGAGGCTGCGGGCGCCGCTGTTGCCCGAGGAGGAGCGAGAGGAAGGCCGGAGCGCTGCAGGCAGCCCCGCCCGCTGCGGCCCGGCTCGCTCGCTCGCTCGCTGGCTGGCTCGGCGGCCGGGCGGTCTGCGAGCGTCCCCGCGGTGCGGAGCCGTGCTGCAGCGAGGCGGAGGGGCCGGCGGCAGCGGCCGGGAGCGGCGAGCCGGGGCCGGAGCGGCGAGTGGGAGCCGGAGCCGGGGCCGCGGCGGAGATGTGCGCGGCGGGGAGGCGCCGGGGCCGGCGGGAGCGAGCCCTGCTGTGGTGCGTGCTGGTGGCGGCGTGGGAGGCGGCGTGGGGGCAGCTGCGCTACTCGCTGCCCGAGGAGATGCCGAAGGGCTCGTTCGTGGGCGACGTGGCCGCGGACCTGGGGCTGCAGCTGCCGGCGCTCGGCCCCCGCGGCGTCAGCCTTGTCTCGGCAGGTAGGACGCCGTATTTCGCCCTGCACGGGAAGACGGGCCATTTGGTGACGGCGCAGAGGATAGACAGAGAGCAGCTGTGCCGGCTGCAGGAGAGATGCGTGTTGCGCTGCGAGGTGATCGCGGAGGGGGAAATGCAGGTTTACGAAATCGAAGTGGAGATCACGGACATTAACGACAACGCGCCCAGTTTCAAAGAAATTGAGATGGACGAGAGAGTAAGCGAGACGACAGCGCCGGGTTCGCGTTTTCCGCTGTCCAGGGCTCAGGACCCGGACTCGGGCCGGAATTCGGTGCAGAGATACGAGCTGAGCGGCGACGAGCACTTCTCGCTGGCCGTGCGGGCGGGCCCCGGCGGGGAGCAGCGTCCCGAGCTGGTGCTGGCGAAGGCGCTGGACCGGGAGGAGGCGGCGTTTCACGAGCTGGTGCTGAGGGCGAGCGACGGCGGCGAGCCGGCACGGACGGGCACGGCGCGGATCCGCGTGGCGGTGCTGGACGCGAACGACAACGCGCCCGTGTTCGGGCAGGCGGAGTACACGGCGCGTGTGCCCGAGGACGTGCCCGTGGGCTCCACCCTCCTCACCGTCACGGCCACCGACGCCGACGAGGGGACGAACGGGCACGTGAAATACTCCCTGAAGAAAGAGGAAGACATGGCATCGGAGATTTTCCAGCTGGATGCGGAGACGGGAGCGATCACGCTGGTGCGGAGCCTGGACTTTGAGGAAGGCCACTTCTATGAAATGGAGATGCAGGCACGGGACGGTGGGGGACTTTCTGACACGGCGAAAGTCACCATTACGGTGACCGACGTGAACGACAACGCGCCCGAGATTTCGGTGCGGTCGGCGCTGGGCGAGATCTCGGAGGACGCCCCGTCGGGGACGGTGGTGGCCCTGCTGCACGTGCAGGACCGGGACTCGGGGCCGAACGGCGAGGTGCGGTGCTCGCTGGGCGGGGGCGTCCCGTTCCGGCTGCAGAGCTCGCAGGGCAGCTACTACCGCGTGGTGACGGCGAGGGAGCTGGACCGGGAGGAGGTGTCGGAGTACAACGTGACGGTGCGGGCGGCGGACGGCGGGTCGCCGGCGCTGTGGAGCAGCGCGGTGCTGGCGCTGCGCGTGCTGGACGTGAACGACAACGCGCCGGTGTTCGCGGAGGCGCGCTACAGCGCCCGGCTGCCCGAGAACAACGCGGCGGGCGCGCTGGTGCTGACGGTGCGGGCGGCGGACGCGGACTGGGGGCAGAATGCGCGCGTGCGGTACCGGCTGGCGGAGGGGCGGGTGCGGGGCGCGCCGCTGTCGTCGTACGTGTCGGTGCAGGCGGAGACGGGCGCGCTGTACGCGCTGCGCTCCTTCGACTACGAGGAGGTGCGCGAGGTGGGGCTGTGGGTGCGGGCGGAGGACGGCGGCGCGCCGGCGCTGAGCAGCAACGTGTCGGTGCGGCTCGTGATCGTGGACGAGAACGACAACGCGCCGCAGGTGCTGTACCCGCCGCCGGCGCCGGTGCCGGTGCCTGGCGTGGGCGCGGGCGCGGTCGCGGTCTGGGCGGGCGTGGAGCTGGCGCCGCGCTCGGCGGAGCCCGGGGCGCTGGTGGCCAAGGTGGTGGCGGTGGACGCGGACGCGGGTCAGAACGCGTGGCTGTCGTACGAGCTGGCCAAGGCGACGGAGCCGGGGCTGTTCCGCGTGGGGCTGCACAGCGGCGAGGTGCGCACGGCGCGCTTCCCGCTGGCCCGCGACGCGGCGCGGCAGAGCCTGGTGGTGGTGGTGAAGGACCACGGGCGGCCGGCGCTGTCGGCCACGGCCACGCTGACGGTGGTGCTGGCCGAGAGCGTGGCCGAGCTGCTGTCGGAGCTGGGCAGCGCGGCGGCGGCGCCGGGCGAGCCGGCCGGCAGCCTGACGCGGTGGCTGGTGGTGGCCGTGGCGGCCGTGTCCTGCCTCTTCCTCGCCTTCCTGCTGCTGCTGCTGGCGCTGCGCCTGCGGCGCTGGCGCCGCTCGCAGCTGCTGGCGGCGGGCAGCGGCGCCTTGCGCGGCGTGCCGGCCTCGCACTTCGTGGGCATCGACGGCGTCCGCGCCTTCCTGCACTCCTACTCGCACGAGGTGTCGCTCACGGCCGACTCGCGCAAGAGCCAGCTCCGCTTGTCGGGCGGCAGCTGCTGCGACACCCTCCCGGCCCGGCCGCCGCCCGACGAGCCCGCGCCGCTGCTCGGGGAGGACCCCGCCGCTGCCCCGGTGAGTTCCTCCTGCCAGCCCCACTTGCTGCGCGACCTCTCCCCGCGCTGCTCTGCTCTGCCCCTTCCGTGCCGAGTCGTGGCTCCTGCCGCGGGAGGGGGAGGTCCGAGCAAGGCAGCGGCTCCCGCAGCAGCCGGCGCCGTGTGCCGGTGCCACTTGCCCGCGGGAGGCGACCGCGGGGTTGCGGCTCAGCGCCCCAGCGGGAGAAGGGGGGAGTGGCCGCGAGAGTCTGCGGGTGGCTGCGTGGGAGGGGCACTGCGGGAAACGGGAGGTCTGTCTTGCTGGTTCCCGGTCTCCTAAGGCCGTTTGAGCGAAAAGGGAGCTGGGCGTGCCTTGGCTTGACGATCCCTGCTACGGCAAGAGCCGTCTGAGGGCGGGCGGGGAGAGACTGGGAGGGAGACGTAATTCCCCCAGTGAAGGTGGTCAACGCCCAGTTTCTCCCTGGGGAGCGCTCCTCTTTTACTTTTAGCCCCTTGCTGTTTCTTCCCAGAAGACTGGTGAGCCGACAAATGCATCTTCCTCCTCAGTACAGAGCTGTAAAGATACCGAAGTGAAGTGCACGGCGTGCCAAAGAAGTTCCTCCTGAGCCATGTTATTGTAGCTCTGGTGGGTGCCCAGGGAGGTTCTTTTCGTGTGCTTTCAGGTTGTTGATTTGTTACGAACACCTTAAGTCTGACAAGTGACATAAAGAGAGGTTTGGGAATAGAAAGTGTGTTTATCTGTCCTATTACAGACCTTAATTATGAACCTACTGCAAATGCCATCATCAAACTGAGTATGTTGTGTTACTTTACCTTTTTTGTAGGGGTTAACCTCTTAGCTTGCAGCTTGTGATGAGTTAAAGGTGGGCCACTGTCTCTGACGGGGTGTGGAAGATCACATCTGTTACAATTCTCTGACTGTCCCGTATGTTCCTTTCATGTTTAGAGTTGTGCAGAGAAAGACTTTTAGGTAGGTTTTCTTGAAATATAAGTGGAAAAAATTCTCTTCCTTGTAACATCGACATGGGCTGAAGTCATAAATTATCCACCGTAGGACGAAGTTGTCTGTGTGAATTTTCTTTAGGTGGAGTCTATCTGCTAATGATGATGATCAATGACAACTCTGTGAGATGTGAGGGGTTTGAGGAGAGTCTTGGATGTTGTGTGTAAGGAGGTACCCTTGGAGACTAGGCCTGTGTTTTCATAATTACCAGAGTTTATTGCTGTAGTACAAAAAAGGAGTCTGAATGTTTCTCATAGTCTCCAACTGGCCAAGTTGTGGGTTGCTCCTTTTTCTCTGCTGTTGCATGATGTTTCCTGAGCATGGCAATTAATGAGTATAGACCTACACTTTACATTAGGATTTGAGAGTCTTCAGCACATGGACACGTTGCCCATGTGCTGAAGAGGAATGATATGATATTGGAGTTGATGCTTTGATGGCCGTGTCTTAGTCAGAGCAGTCTATTGCTTATGCCCTTGAGAACACGTTACCTGTCTCTGAATTGGTGTGATGTGTAGATAAATCTCTCTGTATGTGTCCACGTTGTGATTCTTGTTCTCAGAGGAGGAGAACTGTGTGTGCAAATTTTCCTTAAGTGGTGTCTGTCTGCACAGGTTGCTTTCCTGTTACATGATGTTTTGGCAGTCTGAAAAATTCTGCTGTGGTATAATGTAAAACATCTAAAAGATGAAAAGGTGGTGTAAAAGTTCCCTTTGCCCTCATTGTCAGATAAGGCCCACAGTTTAGTTCCATACATGGTCCCTTTTTAACTGTCCAAAGGCGTCACACTGTGGAACAGTGGCTGTGGTCTTTGCTGTGAGCTGCTGTGTGAGCATCCTGTGGACTTCTTACCAACCAGATGCCTTCCTTGTGCATCTAATAGTCTTGACATAACCTGAAATGTTAAGCTGTGATTCCTTCTCTTCTGTAGGTTTGCCATTCTGCAGATGAAGCTAAAGGTTCTGTTGTAATTTCTCAGAAGGCTTATTTTCAGAATGAAGCCCATTATAAAGTCTTCCCACTTCCAGGTTCATGTTTGTGCAAAATGCACAGGCCACAGCTTAGAAAAATAGCAGAGGGCTGATGAATTTGTCTTAAAATGAACCCCCTGCTGCGAAGTCCAGAGTAAGACTTTAGGGCAGCACTGGCAGCTTGAGACCTCAGGGACTTGCAGGTTCTCCCAGGGATGAATATCCATGCCTGCAGTGAAGACTGAGACACCTTCCTGGTGAGTTTTTCTGACACCACTTTCTCTTCTAATGCTTGCTCGCCTTCCTCATCTGATTTATGATCTTGTTGTTCTTTTCCTGGTGAGCAGACAAATGCATCTTCCTCCTCAGTACAGAGCGGTAACGATATCGCAGTGAAGTGCATGGATTGATGGTGGTGCCTGCTGAGGAGAAATGGTGTGGGCAGCTGGTCCTTTGATGCTGTGCGCTGGCAAGTTATAAGGGTCAAAGAAGAGTATGGAAGTTGTGAAGGTTTGAGGACAAGAGGGTTGGGATCTGTGCATAGAGGGGTTGTTGAAGGACACAGAAGAGACGGTTTGCTGCTCTCTGTGATCAGTGCCCAGCTGTAGTATGTGAGTTTCTCCCTGCGAAAGAAGATTCTCCTCAGCCATGTTAGTGCAGCTGTACTGGGAGGCTTTGGAGGTTCCTTCTGTATGCTCGCAGCAGGTTGTTGATTCATAAGGAACACCTTAATGATGTAGTTATGACAAATGACATCACGAGAGCTTTGGGAAGAGCAAAAGTTTATCCCCATCCTACTAAGCACCTTAATTATGTAGCTCCTCTAAGTGCCATCATCTCCCAGAGTATGTTGCGGTCCTTTACTTTCTGCAGGGGTTAACTTCTTGCTTTCCTCGTAGTGGGGAGCTAAAGGTGGGCCACTATGTCTGAGGGTGTGTGGATGGTCACATCTGTTACACTTGTCTGACTGTCCCCTATCTGTGTTTCATGTTTACAGCTGTGCAGTGAAAGATGTTCCTAGGTATGTTTCCCTCAAACATTGCTGTAAGAAATGCTCCTCCCTGTCACGTAGACATGGGGGAAAGTCAAATATTATCTATGGTGGGGCAAAGTTGTCTGTGTGACTTTTTTTTTGGGTGGAGTCTATGATGATGATTAGTGACAACCCGCGTGAGCTGTGAGGGGTTTGAGGAGAGACTTGGTGATGCTGTGTGTAAGGATCACAGGCCTGTGCAGACTAGGTCTGTGTTTTGATAATCACCAGGGTTTACTGTAGGACTACAACAAATGAGTCTGAATGTTTCTTTAGTTTTGGAGATGACACTTCTCCACTAGTCTCCAACTGGCCAAGTTTTGGGTTCATCAATTTTCTCTCCTGTTACATGTTTTCTGTGCATTGCAATTAATGAGCATAGATGTACACTTTACATTCAGGTTTGAAATTCATGTATCTTCCATGTTGCCCACGTGCTGAAGAAGAATGATACAATGTTTTTGTGTTGATACTTTGATGACCGAGTCTTAATGAGAGCTCTCTACTGCTTATGCACTTGAGAACTTTTTGCTTTTATTTGAACTGCTGTGATGAGCAGAGAAATCTCTTTGTATGTGTCCATGTTGTGATTCTTGTTCTCAGAGGAGGAGAACTGTTTGTGCAAGTATTGCTTCAGTGGTGTGTCTCTGTGCAAGTTGCTTTCCTGTTGCATGATGTTTTGGCAGACTGAAAAATTCTCTCTTTAGATATAGGGCAGGTGAAAATTTTTGCTGTTGTATAATGTGTAATGTCTAGAAGACGTAGAGTTGTCCTAAAATTTCCATTTTTGCTAGTTTTTAGGTAAGGCCCACAGTTTATTTCCAGACATGATCCAGTTTTAACTGTTTGAGGACTTTATACTGAGGAACGTTGGCTATGGTCTTTGGTGTAAGTTGCTGTGTGAGTGTCCGGTGCACTTCTTACCAACCGGATACCTTTCTTGGGTAGCTAATAGAGTTGCCATAATCTGAAATATTAAGCTGTGATTCCTTCACTTATTTAAGTTTCCCATTATTTGCCTTACCTGTTGTCCAGCTCTATATCTGGGCATCATTGTGCCCCGCAACCCCTGAAGCATCAAAAGAAAGATCTCTTCTAATTCTTAGGCTGGGGAGCAGTTTCCATCCCGACCTTGACAGTGTTCAGCTGGCAAGACAAAGACTTTGCTAGCCCTCTGTTTCCCTAAGGTGTCCTTGAATGAACTGCCCTGTTGCCTGTGGCTGACACGTGGCCAAGAGCTGAATATTGTCCGTGGTGCAACTAAAGGGTGTGAATGCGGAGCGAGGGGGGCGAGGGGCTGGCTTTGGCCCAGGCAAAGGGGTGGCTCAGGGTGGTTTGGGCTGGGCAAGGGTTTGCTGTCAGGCCTGGTGCCAAGGCCTGTGCCATTTTTGCTGTGATCCTGGTTTCCCTGTCCTGAAAGGCAATGGTAGTCCTCCAATCACAAAGTGTTTGCACAGTAACTGTGCAGGTAAAATGATGCTGTTTGGTTATAATGGCTCATAACTCCTGTGTGAAACTTCCTTTATCTCTCTCTACCTGCTTGCAAAGTGGAGTTTCTTCACAGCCAAAATTAGTCATTCTTTCAGGCCTTTTTTTCCTGGAAGGCCATGACTGATGGCTCATTTTGGTATTTTTTTTGAGCTTTTGAAACTGCGAGTCTTGTTTTTGCAGCAAATAATTACTTTAACCGCCTAATACAGAAAGTTATCTCTGAAGAAAATGAAGCTGAAGCTAAAGAAGAATCTGTTGCAATTTCTCAGAACATATATATTCAGGCCTATGATAAGTTGTTCACACTTACAAGTTCATTTTTGTGTGAGATGAGCAGGCCACACATTGGAAAAATTAGAAAAATCGCAGAGAACTGATGACTTTGTCTTAAAATGAACCCCCTGCTGCAAAGTCCAGAGTAAGACTTTAGGGCAGCACTTGCATCTTGAGAGCTCAGGGACTTGCAGGTTCTCCCAGGGATGAATTTCCACGCCTGCAGTGAAGACTGAGACACCTTCCCGGTGAGTTCCTCTGACACCACTTTCTCTTCTAATGCTTGCTCGCCTTGCTTGTCTGATTTATGATTTTGCTGTTCTTTTCCTGGTCTCCTATGTACGTAGGTTTAATTGTAACGACCTGCACAGCTTCGTTTAGCAAAGCGTGATGTGTTAGTGCCTCTTGCTCATGCCAGAGCGGCTGTGAAAGGCAGGAGATGTGAGGGTATCTTTGTGTTCTCTTCTAGTCTTTGGGGAACAGAGGTAAACATGACCTCACCGGAGGATAGTAGCAGGGTCATATGTATTGTCTACAGCACATGCCCTTGAGTAGGATGAGATTGTCTTGAAACGGGACGTGAATGGTGTCGCTTCCCACTCAGACTCCCACTGAGATGATGAAGAGAAGTGACAGATTCGTGGCCCCGCATATAATTTTCTGTGATGGTACAATACCTTATACTTGTAATGCTTAATAATCAGTCTTATTGCTTGTGTCGTATCATTATCTGCTCACCCGTGTTGTACCACTTCCTCTTATATTGTTTATTAGTTATTATCATCGAAACCAGTGTGTGTGGAAGGGAGTACTATGTATACTTTATAGCTGTAGTCGTTAGACAGCTTGTGTTCCTTTCTGTGCTCCTTACCACACACTGAGCAGTTTTACTTATAGGATGGGATGACTACAAATTCAAAAATATTTTTATCATGAAGAGCATGTAAGTCGGGGTGTTTTTCTCCAGTCGGTTTTTGATTCACTGAACTATCACTCTTCCCTTCCGTTTCTTCTTCATTGAAGAGTCATTGTTTTGGATGGCTGGAAGTCATTGTTTGAAACGAACGTAGAGCTGCCTGTGCCTGCTTTGGGGCCGGTCTTGTGTTTGTCTCACATGTGAAAGTTCCTCACAGAGCATGTTCCTCAGCCAGTACTGACAGCAGGGTCAGTTTGGTGCTCCAGAAACACAGTGTGTGTTTTTGACATTGGATTAATGTCTTCCTCAACCAGAAGACCATCCTCAGGCATTCCTACAAATTCCTTGTTGCTTGCAGGAATTTCCTTGGTTGGGTTAGAAGCGAGCTCCATGCTGTGGGTGGAGGAAGAGGATGGAAGAGGAGCGAAATTACTTGTTGATAAGTAATAGATTATGAAATACATGTGCATACATTAGCACTGGTTGGTCACCTTGGTGGTGAGCCACCGCTGTGCTCTTCCAGAGGTGGGGTGAAGTTGAAGAATTGGATGTTCCCAGACAGAATATCATGTTTCTAGACTCCATAAGCCTCCAAACTACAGGTGAAGTGCTAGAAGGTAGAAAGTATTGTCACAATACCTGCTGGGATGCATTACGGATGAAACAGCACAGCACAAAATGTCAAGATGCTCTTGCTGTGAAGGATAATTCATTTGTGCTTTCTTTGTCACCTTACAGCTTGTTTCGTAACGTCATCCCTCCCGTAGCAGTGCTTGATCATTCAATGCCAAGTGTTTAAAATGGATTCAAAGGGTGTGTGAGGAACCGACTGGCAGGCATTCTTACTAGCATTACTGGTTAGAAAGGTTGTTTCCTCCTTCTCGGGTCCTCACCAGCTGGTGAGCACAGCCAGAGTCTTGCTGCAGCTGGAGTGATTTTGTGAGACTGACCAGGAGAAGCTTGTTCATGCATCAGCCTTGTGGCCTCTTCTTCCAAATTAAGGGTAATGTCTGAAGGATCCTTATTGGCATATGGGCATTTATAACCTGCTTTACTGTTTGTCATCGTCTCTTTTACATAGAGGCGCAGTTAGGGGTACTGGTGTAGTTTGAATGTGTAGCGACAGTATGTCCTCTTGTGGCTAATTTCGATATAAAGTTCATTTTTTGCTCAGCAGTGTTACTCATAGGATTGGACTATTAGGCATAAACAGATCTTCGACGTGAATGGCTTATTAGTTGAAGGTTTTCTTAAGAGTCTAGCATTCATTGCTTTATTTATCACTAGTGTCTTACAACACAGTTTTCACTTAATGTCAATTCTTTGAAAGGCATGTAAACACTACCTTAGTAATCCAATGCAAGAATCATTGAAGAACAAACATTGAAGAAGGGCGAGATTCTGTGTAAATACCTGCTCGGTATGGGTAGATGACCCTCTTATATGCATCTCCATCTGAAGTAGATTGTGGCTACTCCTTTGTGAGAATGGTCTTGTTGGTGAGGATGAGTTGAGTCTGTTCTCACAGCCAAGTTGTGGCTGAGCGATCTCGCTTGCTATTAACTGCTACAGTGGAAGAAGCTGGTGAAGGAGAAACTGAGTCTCGTAGCCCATATCTTTTCCTATTTTGAGGATGTGGCAGGAGTGGCATAACCAGCAACTGAGTCATCACCAGGCCCCTGTGAGGGAGCATTGTAGCCGCCCACGGAGTCCTCGCTTCTTTGGAGCAGTAGGAGCGTTAGGAAAATCTACTGTTCCTGTAGTCTCCAAACGCATGCTGTCTGTAGCACTTGAAATGGTTCAGCTGGTCAGAATATGCCCTGCTCTCCATGGTCACGAACCAAGGTAGGTTGGTTTGCAGAGTCCTGCATTCTGCGGCTTCCTTTGATTGGTACTGAGATGCGGTGCTGTCGCACAAACAGGCAGCGAGGAGGATCAAGTACCTTTTCGTAGGTGTTGCACTCAGGAGCGTTTCATCCTTTCCGTTTTCATTCCACCTGCCCCACGCCTGGAGTGTTCTGGGTATTTCTGTGCAAAGTACACGTCGCTGTGTTTGTGTCATGGGTAAACTGCCTTCTCTGGTGCTGCCCTTCTCTCCTTTCTTTTTGCAACTTCTTTTTGCCAATATTTTTCTACACGTCTCTGGGTTGTCCCGGGAAAGGCAGCCGACACGTCGCATACACCTCGGGCATCACCACAGAGGAGCATACCAACTCCTTTTTACGATTCTCGCCAGAGCACGCTGGTAATTGAAGCCTCCTGGGCGCATGGGTACCTTTTTGCTGCCCATCCACGTTGGTCGATCTGCTTACTTACCCCGTTCACTGGAAGAAATAATTTTGAAGAAACGCTCTGACTTCCCCGTACTGGAGCAAGAAGTTGTGGCGATCTCCGTGTTTTGTAGAACTGGGAGCGTGCGTTGATACCGCTGTTGTAGAGAACGAGGCTTGCTATTTTCTCCCAGTGTCGGTCACTCCGGGAGGCACGGAGAAGAAAAGGGCTGGAAACAAGGATGCTTTCAAGGAAACTGGCGGGCCCAGTGCTGCCTTTGTACAGCAGTTTCTCCTGTGCAGCATTTTGTAGCTGTTGCTGCTCAGAGGCCGCAGAATCGAAAGAAAAGAGCTCGGGAAAGACAGCGCGCGGCAGTAGCAGAAACTGCTGGAGTATGCCAGGCGTCTGCGGGACAGTTACCCGCCTGTACTTACCTGCAGTCACGGGTGCTCTGCCGTGCGGCGTCTGCGCGCTCCTCCGCGGCTCGGTACCGCGTTCCCCGGCCAGGCTCGTCCTTTCCAGCACGGAGCAGAGGTGCGCGGCCCGCCCTGCCGCGGGCAGGAGCAAACCCGCCGAGCTGAGCCTTTGGGTGGCCGACGGCGCCGACTCCCGGCAGCTGCCGGCAGCGCGGCTCGGAGCCCGGCCCCCGGGAGCGCGGGCACCCGCCGGCTGCGGTGGCGTCGCGGCGCCTCCGGGTGCCGCTGTTGGCCGCCGCGGAGCGGCGCTGGAGCCGGAGCCGCCGGCGGAGCCGGAGCCGCCGGCGGAGCCGCCGCCGCGTCCTGCCCCCGCAGGCTGCTCGCTCGCCCGGCGCCGGCCAGAGCGGCAGCGGCACGGGCAGCAGAGGCGAGAGGCGGCGCGGCGCGGGGAGCGGCGGCGTCCGAGCCGGCGCCGAGCTCGCAGCCCTCCGGCGGCCCCCGCGTTCGGTGCGGAGAGGGGCTGGAAGGGCGGGAGGGCAGCGGCAGGAGGGAGGAGCGCGGCGAGCGGTGCCGAGGATGGCGGGCAGGCAGCGGCCGAGCCGCCGGCGAGCCGCCGGGCGAGTGCTGCTGCTGCCCGCTCTGGTGCTGGGCTTGTGCTGCCGGGCGGCGCCGGAGCGGCTCCGCTACGCCATCCCCGAGGAGCTGGGCAGAGGCTCGCTGGTGGGGCCGCTGGCGCGGGACCTGGGGCTGAGCCCGGCGGAGCTGCCGGCACGCAAGCTGCGGCTCAGCGCCGAGAAGCAATACTTCGGCGTGAGCGGGGAGAGCGGGGAGCTGTACGTGAGCGAGCGGCTGGACCGGGAGGAGCTGTGCGGCGAGGCGGCGTCCTGCTCCGTCAGCTTCGAGGCGCTGGTGCAGAACCCGCTCAACGTGTTCCACGTCGAGGTGGCCATCCGGGACGTCAACGACAACTCCCCGACCTTCAGCAAGGCGGCTCTCGACCTCGAGATCAACGAGTTCACTTCTGTCGGCACTCGTTTTCCGCTGGAGGCGGCCCGGGACGCGGACGTGGGCAGCAACTCGCTGTTGACTTACCAGCTCACCAGCAACCCGTCCTTCACCCTGGCCGTGAAGGAGAGCCCGGGTGGAAAGAAGCAGCCGGAGTTAGTGCTGCAGAAAGCGCTGGACCGGGAGAAGCAGAGCTCCTTCCAGCTAGTGCTGACGGCGGCGGATGGCGGCGACCCCGTGAGGTCCGGGACCGCCCAGATCTGCATCAACGTCACCGACGCCAACGACAACGCCCCCGTGTTCGCGCAGGACCGGTACCGCGCGAGCCTGCGGGAGGACGCGCCGCCCGGCTCCACGGTGCTGCACGTCTCCGCCTCCGACGCCGACGCCGGCACCAACGGCCGCGTCACGTACGGCTTCGGGGAAACGCCGGCCAAGGTGCTGCAGAAGTTCGTGGTGGAGGCGGAGAGCGGGACGGTGACGCTGCGGGAGGCGCTGGACTTCGAGGAGACGCGCGCGTTCAGCCTGGCTGTGGAGGCGAGGGACGGGGGCGGTCTGGTGGCGCACTGCGAAGTGGAGGTGGAGGTGCTGGACGTGAACGACAACGCGCCCGAAATCGCGGTGCTGTCGGTGTGGAGCCCGGTGGGCGAGGACGCGCCGGTCGGCACGGTGGTGGCCGTCCTGAAGGCGAGCGACCCGGACTCCGGGGAGAACGGGCGGGTGTCGTGCGAGCTGTCGGGCGAGGCGCCGCTGTCGCTCGTGGCGTCGCCGGGCGGCTCGTACAAGGTGGTGACGGCGAGCGCGCTGGACCGGGAGCAGGCGGCCGAGCACCGCGTGACGGTGGTGGCCCGGGACCGGGGCAGCCCGTCGCTCTCGAGCCGCGCGGCGCTGGTGCTGGAGGTGTCGGACGTGAACGACAACGCGCCGGTGTTCGAGGAGGCCGCCTACAGCGCCTACGTGGCGGAGAACAACGCGGCGGGCGCGCCGGTGCTGCGCGTGCGCGCGCGGGACGCGGACGCGGGCGCCAACGGGCGCGTGAGCTACTGGCTGGCGGGCGGCAGCGCGGGCGCGGCGCCGCCCGTGTCGGTGGAGGCGCGGAGCGGCGCGGTGTACGCGCAGCGCTCCTTCGACTACGAGCAGTGCCGCGAGTTCGCGGTGGCGGTGCGGGCGCAGGACGGCGGGGCGCCGGCGCGGAGCTCGACGGCGACGGTGCGCGTCTTCGTGCTGGACCGCAACGACAACGCGCCGCGGGTGCTGTGGCCGGCGGCGGGCGCGGGGGCGGGCGCGGGGGCGGCGGCGGGAGCGGCGGGGCCGTTCGAGGTGGTGCCGCGCTCGGCCGAGGCCGGGTACCTGGTGGCCAAGGTGGTGGCGGTGGACGCGGACGCGGGGCGCAACGCGTGGCTGTCGTACGAGCTGGTGCAGGCGCCGGAGCCGGCGCTGTTCCGCGTGGGGCTGCACAGCGGCGAGGTGCGCACGGCGCGGGCCGTGTCGGAGCGGGACGCGGCGAAGCAGCGGCTGGTGGCCGTGGTGAAGGACCACGGGCAGCCGGCGCTGTCGGCCACGGCCACGCTGCACGTGGTGCTGGCCGAGAGCTTGCAGGAGGCGCTGCCGGAGCTGAGCGAGCGGGCGGCGGGCGCCGACTCGCCGGCGGAGCTGCAGTTCTACCTGGTGCTGGCGCTGGCGCTCCTCTCCGCCCTGTTCCTGCTGAGCGTGGCGCTGGCCGTGCTGGCGCGGGTGCGCCGGGCCGGGCCGCCCGCCGTCCTGCGCTGCCTGGGCGCGCAGCGCTTCTCCGCGGCCGGCGCCGCCTTCCCGGCCGACTTCTGCGAGGGCACCTTGCCCTACTCCTACAACCTGTGCGTGGCGCCGGGCCGCGCCGTGGCCGAGGGCGCTTGGCCGCCGCCGCCGCCGTTGCCGGTGCCCAGCCTGCCCGCGGAGGAGCTGCTCGGCGGGGAGCCCTGCGGGAAGCGGAGCCCGAGCAGCAGCGCCGGCGCGGGAGAGCCGCCCGCGGAGCCCGACGCACCGCAGGTCTGGAAGCCCGCGCGCTCTCGCTGCTCTCCCGCAGCCTCTCGGAGCCCCTCTCCTCTTTCCCGCGGGCCTTGCGCGGGGGCTGTGGGCGGGGAGAGGGCGGCGGTGTCTGCCCGCGGGAGGGAAGGAAGGGGAGAGGGGAGGGCGCATCCCCCTGCCCCCCAGAGCAGGCAGTGAGACGCGGCACTCCGCGGTTTACCAGCTTCACCCGAGGTGTTTCCTCTCCAGCTCCAGTGTTGCCTAAAATCCTGTGAGCTGGTAACGGTGACCGCGGATCCTTCCTCATGAGAGGAGCGAGATCCGCTGATTCTGCATGACAGGTTGGGCACTGACACCTGGTGTTGGGGATTTTATCCTGGAGCAATGAGCAATGCTCTTGTCCCTGTTTGCTAGCTGGGCACAAACCCGTTAGTTAGCGGGTTGTCAATTTTGGACTCCCAAAGGAAATGTGACTGTGGCTCCACGAATGGACAAGCGACAGATTCCTTGTCCCCGGTGAAACAAGAGAATCCCCCTTTTGGGGGCTAGTGCTGATCCGTGCCTCCGTGAGGGAAGGAACGGAATAAGGGAAGGCGCATCCCCCCGCCCCCCAGAGCAGGCAGTGAGCCGCGGCACTCCCTGGTTTATCAGGCTCCCCGGTTCAGGTTCACCCGAGAGGTTTTGTCTCCAACTCTAGTGTTGTCTAGAACTCCTGTGAGCTAGTAACGGTGATCTCAGATCTTTCCTCATGAGAGGGAGATCCGCTGGTTCTGCATGACAGGCTCGGGTCTGGTACCCGGTGTTAGAGATTTATCCTGAAGCAATCTGGTGGCACCTGGTTGTTCTCTGGGCACAAACTCTTTAATTACTGCAGCGTATGAAGACACGGACCCAGAGCTTGGATCTAAGCTGAATCGTTTATTGAAGCAAACAGTGTGACTATAGACTTTCCAAAGAAGGGCAGGCCCCTCCTTTCTTCCAGTAGTGCCCTGTTCCCAGGTAAAAATAGAATGTGAAAAGAGTCCTTTGCAGCTGGCATCCCAAAGGTTGGAGCCAAGTCGTTAAGTTTTTGATGAGGCGTTTTTTGTTCCCAGGACTAGCTCCATCGGTTCCCTTTCATACGTGCTGATCGGTACCGTTTGCTTTAACACGGAGCTGCCTTTTGTTTTTCTGCTCTGGCTTTTAAATGCAAAGTCTCATGCCGCCAATTCCTTCGGCAGTCAACCTGCTTTTCATCTTCCAGAAATTAGAGGGTTTAGGTATTTAGGTAGTTAGGAAACGTGCGTGTGGCTCTATCAGTGCAGAAGTTACCGACTGTTCCTCCCTCTCCTGCCGTGTGCCCTGCCAGCTTTTGGGGGAAGGCTGCTGCAGAAATGAGAGCCCTGAGGGGATGGATACATTTTATCCAGGCGTGAGATTTCGTGTTCCTTGTAAAGTTATTTCCCGTTCTAACTGTCTGCAGGGGTTCTTCGAGTGTAGAAAGAGTTCCATGGGTCCTACATGGTGCAGCTGGGAACATGGGGGTGGCGCTTGGTGTTGCAGATCTTGCCTTCCTGAAACGTAGGTGTTTTCTCCATGAAAGGAGAAATTGCAGAATATGGGACGGGTTATTTATTCCAGGCATTGTTTCTCTATGCAGTTATTTATCTATTATTATTTTATTACTATTTAAATTTTCATTCTGGGGGGTAGTTTCCTCTTTTTTACCGTTCCTGATCTGTCTTTCCCACAAACGTGAAGATGCACGATGGCATCTAAGAAATATATCTACAGATATATCTTATAGACCTATAGCTATAGATAAATAGATACCGCCTTTCGTCTTTCGGAGCCTGTCCACTATTCTTCTTCCTTTTTCCCAGAGAGAGATGATGGACGTGGGCCATTGTGTCGAGAGGGAAATACTAAACTGAGAAATTCGGTGTGTCGCCCACTTGATGAATCGTTGTTTCGTTATTGGATCTGCCTGATTGACCTGTTCTCACCTTGAGAACATTTCTAAACCGACAAGGAAATATGCAAACCGGCAGCAATTAGGCACTTGATAAAGTCTGTTTCACACTTACAGATAGTGTAGGCTGTGCAGCTGTACTTGTCTTCTGCTGCTGCCCTACAGTGCTTTGCTGAAAAGGTGTCCTACTAACATGGAGACTCCAGGATTAGATGACTACTTTGCTACCAAGTATCAATGTTTTACACTGTAGTTTCAGGGAAATCGAAAATCAAGTTCTTGCCGCCTGTGGTAATGAGTCTGACAGCTCTGCTCCTCTGTGTGTGTGTGTGTGTGAGAGAGAGAGAGAATTGCTGTGAGAAATGTAATTTTTCTAGTTGTATGTGCTTGTAAGATGGTGATTTAGAGTTTCATCCTGGTTGTATTGAGCTTTTCCCAGCTTTTACCGGCCTTCAAATGCTACTAATGGCACTTGCTGATATGAAGTAACTGTTGACCTTTTGTCGGTATCAAAATTGCTGGGAATGTAGGGGAAAGTGAGGGCATTTTTGTGTGGAATTTCTGCATTTAGAGCTTGTTCTTTGAAGCATGTGCAGGGAGGCTTCTCCTTTCATGCAGTGTCATGGCTGATCCAGCTTTCCCTGTCAATGGTAGCTCTTGGGCATAGATGTCAACATTGCGTTATCAGTTACAGAGTCACATGTGCCCAATTGCTCAGGTGCTGAAGGTGAATGATGGTGTCTCTGAGCTGATACTGACAACCGAGTCTTTAAGATATCACTAATGCTCTTTAGAACATTTCAGGTTTCCTCAGACGAGTTTGATGAGTAGAGTAGTCCCTGTGCATGCTTATGGGTTGGGATCCTTCTTCTCCCAAGAATTTTTGTGGGAAACATTTCTTTTAGTAATGTCTGTCTGCCAAGTTAGCTTCCTTGTTGTGTGATGTTTGAGCACGCTGAAGCATTCTGTCTGCACAGAGAGAGGGCAGCTGGAAGAGTTTGCTGTGGTGTTGTTTGAAATGTCTAAAAGGTAGGTGTAAATGTTGCCTTTCTCGTAGTTTTAATATGAGCCCCATAGTTTTGGTCCAGTGCCTTTTCCTTCTCTCATTGTCCAAAGAAATGCCTTTGAGAACTGTGGTTGTGGTCTGAGTTGTGAACTCCTCTGTGATCCTCCCGTGTACTTTTTGCCAACTGGATGCTTTTCTTGTGTACCTACTACAAATGACTTAATCTGAAATGCTCAGCTATGATTCCTTCACTTCTGTGGGTTTCACATTCCTTCCTTGTTTCTTCTCATGTTCTAAGAGTGGGCATCTGTTTCCTGATAGTCCATAAAAGTAGAGATTTGTTCAAATTATCATGTTGGGGGAGCAGTGTCATGCCTACCTTGAAGGGGTTGTGCTGCCAGGACAAAGACTGGTGGCTGATGCACGGACAAGAGTTGGATACGTGCCGTGGTGCAACTAAAGGCTGTGAATGGAGAGAGAGGAGGGTGAGGTATTGGCTTCTGACCGTGAACATAGGTGGGCCAGTGTGGATTTGACTGCAGAATGATTTGAAATGATGCCCGGTGCCAAGGCCTGTGCCATTTCTGTTATGCTCCCTAGCTTTGCTGTCCATAATGGCAATGGTAACACTCTGATAATCAAGCATTTGAGGTGTGCACGTAGCACAATGATGCCTGGGTAGAACACCTTCTAACTCCTGTGTGAAACCATCTTTATCCATCCCTATGTCCCTGGCACGTTGCAATGTGGCGTTTCTTCACAGTTACACTTTCTTTGGGGCCTTTGTTTCTTGCTTCACTTTCTCCCTTTCTGGACAATGCTATTGCATTTGGAACCATGAGTGTTGTTTCAGGTCAAATGCTTATTTCAACCACTTAAATCTATTTCTTACTTGGTAGGAAAGTGAAGGAAAAGCTAAACCAGCTTCTCTTGTTTTTGTCTTAGGTTGAGAAGGAGGTTCATGACAATGTGTTTTCACATGCAGCTTTTTATTTGTAGGAGATGAAAGGCCAGAGCATAGAAGAGGTGAGAGTTGATGAATATGTCTTACAAGGGACACCCTATTAGGTAGTGCAGAATAAGGCCTTAATGTCTCATCTCTTTGAGATGATAGAAGAGGGGAGGAGGTTCCACCTAAGTCACTAGTTTGATGGCCCACCGACACTTGGATGTGAAGCGCAGAAACAAACTTTACAGCTCACAAAGAGTTATAAAGCAGGTAAGTTTCTTGCGGCTCTGGGTGCAAGGGGGATCTCTCCTCCTAGCTTGCACACCAACAGCACACTCTGCCAACCATTTCTGCAGTGCAGGTATACATATTCACTGTATGATGCAACACAAACATACTTATGCATAAGTGAGGTGGGGTTAGTTTGCGCAGTCTCAGATGTGTCTCTGGTGGTCGTTTACTTCTCCAGGGGTCTTATCTTCCTCTTTCTCTTTTGTCCTTTAGATGAACTTTAGCCATCCACGCATGCTCCATTGGTACTTGCTGATCTCAGAAGCCTTTTAACCAGTTTTAAGGTCAAGCTGACACGGTTATTCTTGTTACCTCCCTCTGTGTCTAACACTCAGTAAGTGTGGCACCTGGTCCGTTCAGTTCTGTATGAAGAGATGAGGGGTTAGTGACGGAAGGTGTGCAGGGTGTCCCCAACACGGTCACCCAAAACATGCTGGCCCCTGAGTGGAGAGAGATGGGTTTGATGGGTGGCCTGGGAGCTGGATGAGGAACTGGCTGGATGGCCGCATCCAAAGAGTTCTAGTCCATGGCTCAGTGTCCAAGTGGAAACAAGTGCCATGTCCCTCAAGCATCTGTACTTGGAGCAGTGCTCTTGAATGCAGATAAGTGATATCGTCACCAGTGAGAGAGACAGTGGGAACAAGGCACCTTCTGATAAGCCGTGGATGCCCCATCACGGTAAGTGTTGAAGGAGTGAGGGGACAGGGCTTTGAGCACGTTGAGCTGGGGAAGGATGTCCCTGCCTATGGTACGGGGGCTGGGTGGTGGTGTGCTATGACACCTTTATGGTATCTTCCAACAAATATCATTCTTTGGTTCTATGGAAGAGGTGACCTGGCTCTGCTCTTTGCTGTTATCAAGCCCTGATATATGAAGGAACAGAAGAAGGACGGGGCTTCTGTTTATCAGAAACACATTCATAAAGGCTGCTCTGCTATCTGCTCATAGACACATTGCCTTTGATGTGAACTATTTGTCTGTGTGATCGTTCTTCTCCCTACAAGAAAAATCAACAGTGGGACCAACGTCAGAGACTTCCATGAGCAAAAGGAGGCAATGCACAGAAACCCTTTGCAGTTAGAGTTCCATCTTGATTACATTAACAGCAGCTGAGCTGCTTCTGTTCCTGCTCTGCCTGATTGACCTGCAGAGGCTGTTCCCACCTTGGATGAATATAAATGTGTATAAACTCTACAAACTCTAAAATTCTGTGGACAATCAAAAAGGAAAATCACACGTGACAGTCCTTCACCTTTGCTTTTTCATCCATTATTAGCGGTGTCTTTGGAGGCACCAATAAATGGCAGCCAGCAGTGGCAGCCGTAGTGCGAGGGGTTAACTTGGTGTGGATGGGAAGTGCTGATCCTGCCTCCCTGAGGGAAGGAGCAGAATCGGGGAAGGCCCATCCCCCTGAGAACAGATCTAAACCGACCAAGAAATGTGCAAATCGGCAGCAATTCAGCACTTAACAAAGTCCACAACAAGGAAGAGATGAATACTTTCCTGCCAATCATCAATGTTTTACACTGTAATTTCAGGGGGAAAGAAAGTGAAGTTCTTGATGCCTGTGGTGATGAGCCTGTTAACTCTGCTCCTGTGTGTTTGCGTGTGTGGGTCTGAATATCACGTTTTATACTGAAAAGCCTCTTTTCCTGCCGTTCTACAAGCCATTCCAGCAAATCTACTTCAAAAATCTGCTCTGGGGAATGTGTCAGAAACTCGTAATATTCGAGACGTCATAGTAAATAATAATAGTAATAATTAAAAAAAAAAAGTATTTTCCGTGAGCGATCTGTCCATTGGAAGCGATTCTTCCCGTGCTCCACAAGTAGCAGACATCGCTGACGAAGAGAAGGGCGCCGAGGAGAAAAGCCCGCGCAGGAAATCCCGGGTGTCCGTTGGAGGGCGGATCTTCATCGCTGCTGGTTCTGTCGGCCGGGGCGGGGGGAATGAAGGCGGCTGGAGGGCGCGCTTTGGATGTGCAGAGAGGGAGAGGGCAAAGCCGTGCGCCCGGACTGCTCCCCGAAGCTGTGCGAGTGGCGGAGGAGGTTGTGCTGCGGGGGCTTCCCGAGGGGCTTCCCGAGGGGCTTCGAGTCGTCGCACTGGACGCGTCGGATCGGAGACGACCTTCGTGGGCGCTGCGAGTCGGTTTGTCGGCGCGGCAGAGAGCCCACGGTCACGGGAGGGCTGTGCCTCGGCGGTGTCCGGTCTCGGTCGGAGGAGGAAGGAGGAGCTCGGGGGGCGAAGCGGCCGCGGCGGAGCTGAGCGGCGGGCGGGCAGCGCCGCGTCCGTGGCGCCGGGGCCGTCCCCGCGAGCTGTCCGTGGGCAGGGCAGGGCAGGGCAGGGCAGGGCAGGGCAGGGCGGGCAGCGCTCGGCAGCGCTCGGTGCCTGCAGTGCCGGGAGGAGGCTGCGGGCGCCGCTGTTGCCCGAGGAGGAGCGAGAGGAAGGCCGGAGCGCTGCAGGCAGCCCCGCCCGCTGCGGCCCGGCTCGCTCGCTCGCTCGCTGGCTGGCTCGGCGGCCGGGCGGTCTGCGAGCGTCCCCGCGGTGCGGAGCCGTGCTGCAGCGAGGCGGAGGGGCCGGCGGCAGCGGCCGGGAGCGGCGAGCCGGGGCCGGAGCGGCGAGTGGGAGCCGGAGCCGGGGCCGCGGCGGAGATGTGCGCGGCGGGGAGGCGCCGGGGCCGGCGGGAGCGAGCCCTGCTGTGGTGCGTGCTGGTGGCGGCGTGGGAGGCGGCGTGGGGGCAGCTGCGCTACTCGCTGCCCGAGGAGATGCCGAAGGGCTCGTTCGTGGGCGACGTGGCCGCGGACCTGGGGCTGCAGCTGCCGGCGCTCGGCCCCCGCGGCGTCAGCCTTGTCTCGGCAGGTAGGACGCCGTATTTCGCCCTGCACGGGAAGACGGGCCATTTGGTGACGGCGCAGAGGATAGACAGAGAGCAGCTGTGCCGGCTGCAGGAGAGATGCGTGTTGCGCTGCGAGGTGATCGCGGAGGGGGAAATGCAGGTTTACGAAATCGAAGTGGAGATCACGGACATTAACGACAACGCGCCCAGCTTCCAAGAGGCAGAAACGGAGCTGAGAACGATCGAGACGACAGCGCCAGGTTCGCGTTTTCCGTTGGCCCGGGCTCAGGACCCGGACTCGGGGCCGAATTCGGTGCGGAGCTACGAGCTGAGCGGCGACGAGCACTTCTCGCTGGCCGTGCGGGCGGGCCCCGGCGGGGAGCAGCGTCCCGAGCTGGTGCTGGCGAAGGCGCTGGACCGGGAGGAGGCGGCGTTTCACGAGCTGGTGCTGAGGGCGAGCGACGGCGGCGAGCCGGCACGGACGGGCACGGCGCGGATCCGCGTGGCGGTGCTGGACGCGAACGACAACGCGCCCGTGTTCGGGCAGGCGGAGTACACGGCGCGTGTGCCCGAGGACGTGCCCGTGGGCTCCACCCTCCTCACCGTCACGGCCACCGACGCCGACGAGGGGACGAACGGGCACGTGAAATACTCCCTGAAGAAAGAGGAAGACATGGCATCGGAGATTTTCCAGCTGGATGCGGAGACGGGAGCGATCACGCTGGTGCGGAGCCTGGACTTTGAGGAAGGCCACTTCTATGAAATGGAGATGCAGGCACGGGACGGTGGGGGACTTTCTGACACGGCGAAAGTCACCATTACGGTGACCGACGTGAACGACAACGCGCCCGAGATTTCGGTGCGGTCGGCGCTGGGCGAGATCTCGGAGGACGCCCCGTCGGGGACGGTGGTGGCCCTGCTGCACGTGCAGGACCGGGACTCGGGGCCGAACGGCGAGGTGCGGTGCTCGCTGGGCGGGGGCGTCCCGTTCCGGCTGCAGAGCTCGCAGGGCAGCTACTACCGCGTGGTGACGGCGAGGGAGCTGGACCGGGAGGAGGTGTCGGAGTACAACGTGACGGTGCGGGCGGCGGACGGCGGGTCGCCGGCGCTGTGGAGCAGCGCGGTGCTGGCGCTGCGCGTGCTGGACGTGAACGACAACGCGCCGGTGTTCGCGGAGGCGCGCTACAGCGCCCGGCTGCCCGAGAACAACGCGGCGGGCGCGCTGGTGCTGACGGTGCGGGCGGCGGACGCGGACTGGGGGCAGAACGCGCGCGTGCGGTACCGGCTGGCGGAGGGGCGGGTGCGGGGCGCGCCGCTGTCGTCGTACGTGTCGGTGCAGGCGGAGACGGGCGCGCTGTACGCGCTGCGCTCCTTCGACTACGAGGAGGTGCGCGAGGTGGGGCTGTGGGTGCGGGCGGAGGACGGCGGCGCGCCGGCGCTGAGCAGCAACGTGTCGGTGCGGCTCGTGATCGTGGACGAGAACGACAACGCGCCGCAGGTGCTGTACCCGCCGCCGGCGCCGGTGCCGGTGCCTGGCGTGGGCGCGGGCGCGGGCGCGGTCGCGGTCTGGGCGGGCGTGGAGCTGGCGCCGCGCTCGGCGGAGCCCGGGGCGCTGGTGGCCAAGGTGGTGGCGGTGGACGCGGACGCGGGTCAGAACGCGTGGCTGTCGTACGAGCTGGCCAAGGCGACGGAGCCGGGGCTGTTCCGCGTGGGGCTGCACAGCGGCGAGGTGCGCACGGCGCGCTTCCCGCTGGCCCGCGACGCGGCGCGGCAGAGCCTGGTGGTGGTGGTGAAGGACCACGGGCGGCCGGCGCTGTCGGCCACGGCCACGCTGACGGTGGTGCTGGCCGAGAGCGTGGCCGAGCTGCTGTCGGAGCTGGGCAGCGCGGCGGCGGCGCCGGGCGAGCCGGCCGGCAGCCTGACGCGGTGGCTGGTGGTGGCCGTGGCGGCCGTGTCCTGCCTCTTCCTCGCCTTCCTGCTGCTGCTGCTGGCGCTGCGCCTGCGGCGCTGGCGCCGCTCGCAGCTGCTGGCGGCGGGCAGCGGCGCCTTGCGCGGCGTGCCGGCCTCGCACTTCGTGGGCATCGACGGCGTCCGCGCCTTCCTGCACTCCTACTCGCACGAGGTGTCGCTCACGGCCGACTCGCGCAAGAGCCAGCTCCGCTTGTCGGGCGGCAGCTGCTGCGACACCCTCCCGGCCCGGCCGCCGCCCGACGAGCCCGCGCCGCTGCTCGGGGAGGACCCCGCCGCTGCCCCGGTGAGTTCCTCCTGCCAGCCCCACTTGCTGCGCGACCTCTCCCCGCGCTGCTCTGCTCTGCCCCTTCCGTGCCGAGTCGTGGCTCCTGCCGCGGGAGGGGGAGGTCCGAGCAAGGCAGCGGCTCCCGCAGCAGCCGGCGCCGTGTGCCGGTGCCACTTGCCCGCGGGAGGCGACCGCGGGGTTGCGGCTCAGCGCCCCAGCGGGAGAAGGGGGGAGTGGCCGCGAGAGTCTGCGGGTGGCTGCGTGGGAGGGGCACTGCGGGAAACGGGAGGTCTGTCTTGCTGGTTCCCGCTTTCTTAAGGCCGTTTGAGCGAAAAGGGAGCTGGGCGTGCCTTGGCTTGACACTCCCTGCTACGGCAAGAGCCGTCTGAGGGCGGGCGGGGAGAGACTGGGAGGGAGACGTAATTCCCCCAGTGAAGGTGGTCAACGGCCCGGTCTCTCCCTGAGGAGCGCTCCTCTTTTACTTTTAGCCCCTTGCTGTTTCTTCCCAGAAGACTGGTGAGCCGACAAATGCATCTTCCTCCTCAGTACAGAGCTGTAACGATATCGCAGTGAAGTGCATGGATTGATGGTGGTGCCCGCTGAAGAGAAATAGTGTGGTCAGCTGGTCCTTTGATGCCGTGCGCTGGCAAGTTATAAGGGTCAAAGAAGAGTATGGAAGTTGTGAAGGTTTGAGGACAAGAGGGTTGGGATCTGTGCGTAGAGGGGCTGTTGAAGGACACAGAAGAGATGGTTTGCTGCTCTCTGTGATCAGTGCCCAGCTGTAGTATGTGAGTTTCTTCCTGCGAAATAAGTTTCTTCTGAGCCATGTTGGTGCAGCTGTACTGGGAGTCTTGGGAGGTTCCTCCTGTATGCTCGCAGGTTGTTGATTCATAAAGAACACCTTAATGATGTATTTATGACAAATGACATCATGAGAGATTTAGGAAGAGCAAAAGTTTATCCCCATCCTACTAAGCACCTTATTTATGTAGCTCCTCTAAGTGCCATCATCTCCCAGAGTATGTTGCGGTCCTTTCCTTTCTGCAGGGGTTAACTTCTTGCCTTCCTCGTAGTGAAGATGTAAAGGTGGCCCACTGTGTCTGAGGGTGTGTGGATGGTCACATCTGTTACACTTGTCTGACTGTCCCATATCTGCATTTCATGTTTACAGCTGTGCAGCGAAAGATGTTCCTAGGTATGTTTCCCTCAAATATTGCTGTAAGAAATGCTTCTCCCTGTCACATAGACATGAGGAAAAGTCAAATATTATCTATGGTGGGGCAAAGTTGTCTGTGTGACATTTTTTTGTGGTGGAGTCTATGATGATGATTAGTGACAACCCATGTGAGCTGTGAGGGGTTTGAGGAGAGACTTGGTGATGCTGTGTGTAAGGAGCACAGGGTTGTGCAGACTAGGTCTGTGTTTTGATAATTACCACGGTTTATTGTAGGACTACAACAAATGAGTCTGAATGTTTCTTTAGTATTGGAGATGACACATCTCCACTTGTCTCCAACTGGCCAAGCTTTGGGTTCATCAATTTTCTCTCCTGTTGCGTGATGTTTCCTGTGCATGGAAAATATTGAACATAGATGTACATTTTACTTTGAGCTCTGAGTCATGTATCTTCCATGTTGCCCACGTGCTGAAGAAGAATGATACAATGTTTTTGTGTTGATACTTTGATGACCGAGTCTTAATGAGAGCTCTCTACTGCTTATGCACTTGAGAAGTTTTTGCTGTTATTTGAACTGCTGTGATGAGCAGAGATATCTCTTTGTATGTGTCCATGTTGTGATTCTTGTTCTCCGAGGAGGAGAACTGTGTGTGCAAGTTTTCCTTCAGTGGTGTCTCTCTCTGCAGGTTTCTGTCCTGTTGCATGATGTTGGCAGACTGAAAAATTCTCTCTTTAGATATAGGGCAGGTGAAAATTTTTGCTGCTCTGTAATGTGTAATGTCTACAAGACATAAAGATCTTGTAAAATTTCCATTTTTGCTAGTTTTTAGGTAAGGCCCACAGTTTATTTCCAGACATGATCCAGTTTTAACTGTTTGACGACTTTACACTGAGGAACGTTGGCTATGGTCTTTGGTGTAAGTTGCTGTGTGAGTGTCCGGTGCACTTCTTACCAACCGGATACCTTTCTTGGGTAGCTAATAGAGTTGCCATAATCTGAAATATTAAGCTGTGATTCCTTCACTTATTTAAGTTTCCCATTATTTGCCTTACCTGTTGTCCAACTCTATATCTGGGCATCATTGTGCCCCGCAACCCCTGAAGCATCAAAAGAAAGATCTCTTCTAATTCTTAGGCTGGGGAGCAGTTTCCATCCCGACCTTGACAGTGTTCAGCTGGCAAGACAAAGACTTTGCTAGCCCTCTGTTTCCCTAAGGTGTCCTTGAATGAACTGCCCTGTTGCCTGTGGCTGACACGTGGCCAAGAGCGAATATTGTCCATGGTGGAACTAAAGGGTGTGAATGCAGAGCGAGGGGGGCGAGGGGCTGGCTTTGGCCCAGGCAAAGGGGTGGCTCAGGGTGGTTTGGGCTGGGCAAGGGTTTGCTGTCAGGCCTGGTGCCAAGGCCTGTGCCATTTTTGCTGTGATCCTGGTTTCCCTGTCCTGAAAGGCAATGGTAGTCCTCCAATCACAAAGTGTTTGCACAGTAACTGTGTGGGTAAGATGCTGCTGCATGGGTAGAATGGCTCATAACTCCTGTGTGAAAGCTCCTTTATCCACCTCTGTCTGCCTGTAGCTTTGCCATGTTTCTTCATAGGTGTAATTATTTATTGTTTCAGGCCTTTGTTTCCTGGAATGTCGTGGCTCATTGCTCATTTTGGTAATTTTTTTATTCTTTTGAAGCTGAGACTGTTTTTCCTGCATGAAATACTTTAATCACCTAAAACAAAAATTTATCTGTGAGGAAAATTAAGCTGAGGCTAAAACAGGGTCCGTTATAATTCTTCAAAAGACGTATCTTCAGAACAAGGTCCATGACAAGGTGTTTACACTTACAGGCTCATATTTATGTGAGATGAGCAGGCCACACATTAGAAAAATTGTGGAGAGCTGATGACTTTGTCTTAAAGTGAACCCCCTTCTGCAAAGTCCAGAGTAAGACTTTAGGGCAGCACTTGCATCTTGAGAGCTCAGGGACTTTCAGGTTCTCCCAGGGATGAATTTCCACGCCTGCAGTGAATACTGAGACACCTTCCCGGTGAGTTTCTGTGACACCACTTTCTCTTCTAATGCTTGCTCGCCTTGTTCGTCTGATTTATGATTTTGCTGTTCTTTTCCTGGTCTCCTATGTACGTAGGTTTAATTGTAACAATCTGCAGAGCTTCGTTTAGCAAAGTGTGATGTGTTAGTGCCTCTTGCTCATGCCAGAGCGGCTGTGAAAGGCAGGAGATGTGAGGGTATCTTTGTGTTCTGTTACAGTCTTTGGGGAACAGAGGTAAACATGACCTCAGTGGAGGTCTCATCTCTGTGGAGCAGTGCATGTGATAAATGAGGGGAGGAGATTCCTCCTAGGCCATCAGTTTGATGACTCATTCTCTGTTGGATGGCTGCTCGCCTTTTGCTTCGGTTTGTGCTCATTCATGTGATTTGGAATCCTGGGTTTCTCCTTAGAATGGTGGTAATTAGACAGATTTACCACCCTTGTGGGTGTGACCATGGTGCATCAATACTCTCATGATCTGGTTTTGTCAATCCTGAGGAGGTCGGAAGCAAACCCGCAAGCTGTGTAGGGCTGGAGAGAAGACAGGGGAGCTCTGTGTGTGAGGCTACAGAAGAGCAGATGGTCGTTTCCTTGCTTGTGAAAGTAAACAGAAGCGTGAGCCTAATGGAGTAGAAAACGGTGTATCATTTCTGTGCTTTTGGGCCTTGTAGAGAAATGCACCTTCCCTTCCTGGTACATGTACGTGGCCTGATCATGGTGCATGTTAGAGATATTTTGTTTTAGCATCTGGCCCTTTGATGTTATGTTCTTGTAAATGATGAGGGTCAAAGAAGACAACGAAGCTGTGAAGGTTTGGAGACAGGAGTGGTGGGAGCTGTGCGTGAGGGGCTGTTGAAGGACACAAGAGAGAGGGTTGGCTCGTTCCCGTGTTCAGTGCCCACCTGCTGCATCATGCAATGTGAGTTTCTCCTTGCCAAAGAAGTTTCTCCTCAGCCATGTTATTGCAGCACCACTGGAAGCCCTGGGAGGTTCTTCCTGTGTGCTTGGTGGTTGTTGTTGATTCATTAGTGGCACCTTAATGATGTTCTTATGACAAATGACATCAGGGGAGCTTTGGGAAGAGCAAAACTCCTTAATTTTAACTCCTCCTGAACACCTTAATTATGCACTGATGCTAAGTACCATGGTCTATCAGAGTATGTTGTAATGCTTGTTTTTCTGCAGGGATTAAGTTCTTGCCTTGCTTGTAGTGATGAGATAAAGGTGGTTTCTTTCACTCGTGTTTCCTTAAATGTTACTTGTAGAATTGCTCTTGCTTCTCAGATACACATGGGGAGGAGTCAGTGCAAGATGGGTGATGGACTGACCTCGAAGCTGGATAAGTGGGGGTTGTATGCTCCATCTGGCTGGGTGGTGCTTTAATAGGGTACCTGGGGACAAGGCCTCTGGCGCTTACACCAAGACCCCTTTTCCCATGTCCTAAATGGGATGACAATCCTCTCAGAAATTTCATGGCAAGCAATATCGATAGATGTGCAAACGTGCTTCAGTTGTACTATGTCTAGGAACTGCTGTGCAAAATGTCGTATTTCTAGTTGTATGTCCTTGTAAGATGGTGATGTAGAGTTTCATCCTGGTTGTATTTTGCTTTTCCCAGCCCTTACCAGCCTTCAAATTTTATGAATGGCTCTTGCTGATATGAAGTAACTGCTGATCTTTTGTTGGTCTTATATGTGCTGGGAATGTAGGGGAATGGGAGTGTAAATTTGTTAGGAATTTCTCCAAATCAACTTGTTCTTTGAAGCGTGTGCAGACAATCGACTCCTTTCATGCAGTGTCACGGCTGATTCAGCTTTCCCTGTCAATGGTAGCTCTTGGGCATAGATGTCAACATTGCGTTACCAGTTACAGAGTCACATATGTGCCCAATTGCCCAGGTGCTGAAGGTGAATGATGGTGTCTCTGAGCTGATACCGACAACTGAGTCTGTAACGGAGCTGCATATCACTTACGCTCTTTAGACCATTTTGGTTTTCTTCTAATGTGTGTGATGAGTAGAGAAGTCCCCATGCATGCGTCTGTGTTGGGATCCTTGTTCTCGCAAGGAGAATTTTTGTGGGAAACATTTCTTTCAGTGATCTCTTGAGGAGAATCACAGACTCCGGCAACTCTATAAGAGTCAGAAACCGAAATCCCCTAACTGCCGATACAAGTTCGTTTATAAATCTTCCTAGCAACTGGTCACACATAAACAGAAGGCTTGATTGGTTCCATGCATTCTTCACACACTGGTCACACGCCTAAGATGAACATTTGATTAGTTATTATCCCCTGTCCATAATACACCAGACAATTCATTGGCTACAATTAGTTACTGCTATCCTAAGCCTATTGGTTAATTAAATCTTACAAGCACAAACACAATGTTCTATACACTTTTAGTCCAGGTTAGAAGATCTTCTAATTTCTGTGTAAAGCCTCCTTTAACCATGACTATGTCCCTGCAATGTTGTGATGTGTTTCCCCAATTCTGGACAGTGCTTTTGCATCTGGAACCATGTGAGTGTTGTTTGAGACCAAATGCTTATTTCAACCACCTAAGACTAATTTTTATTTGGGAGGAAAATGAAACAAAATCTACACGAGATTCTCTTATTTTTGTCTTAGCTTGAGAAAGAGGCCCATGACAACGTGTTTTCACTTGCAGCACTTTATTAGTAGGGAGACTGAAAGCCAGGGAGAAGAAAAAATGAAGTGAGAGGTGATGAATAAGTCATAAAAAGAGCGCCCGGCTATGTAGTGCAGAGTAAGGCTTTAAGGTCGCATCTGTGGAGAGGAATTGGTTTGATAAAAGAGAGGAGGATCTTCCACCTAAGTCACTACTTTGATGGTCTGTTCACTCTTGGGTGACCGCTCTTATTTTAATTCAGCCATTCCTCATTCATGTGTTTGAGAACCCTCTGTTTCTCCTGAGGATGCTGGTGAGCAGAGAAGTTACTCCCTTCTTCATGTGATTGTGATCCATCATCATCACACGATACTTTGTTGACAATTCTGAGAAGGTCAGGAGCAAACCTGCAAGTTGTGTAGTTTTGGAGATAAAACTCATGGGAGATCTGGTGTTGGGGTGCCGAGTTGGTGATTTCTCTGCTTGTCATAGTTACTCCCTTACACACACGACTGTGGTACCGTGCATCCAATTGGAGTTTCTTCTGCTCAGCAAGTGTGGCCTAAGAAATGTGATTGCACCTGGTCCCTTCAGTTCTGTATGAAGAGATGAGGGGTTAGTGATGGAAGGTGTGCAGGGTGTCCCCAACACGGTGACCCAAAACATGCTGGCCCCTGAGTGGAGAGAGATGGGTTTGATGGGTGGCCTGGGAGCTGGATGAGGAACTGGCTGGATGGCCGCGTCCAAAGAGTTCTAGTCCGTGGCTCAGTGTCCAAGTGGAAACAAGTGCCGTGTCCCTCAAGCATCTGTACTCGGAGCAGTGCTCTTGAACGCAGATCAGTGATATCGTCACCAGTGAGAGAGACAGTGGGAATAAGGCACCTTCTGATAAGCTGTGGATGCCCCATCACGGTAAGTGTTGAAGGAGAGAGGGGACAGGGCTTTGAGCACATTGAGCTGGGGAAGGATGTCCCTGCCTATGGTACGGGGGCTGGGTGGTGGTGGGCTATGACACATTAATGATATCTTCCAACAGATATCATTCATTGGTTCTATGATAGAGGTGACCTGGCTCTGGGCTTTGCCATTATCAAGCCCTCATGTATGAAGAAACAGAAGAAGAACAGCGCTTCTGTTTATCAGAAACACATTCATAAAGGCTGCTTTGCTATCTGCCCATAGAGGTGGACACATTGCCTTTGATGTGATCTATTTGTCCGTGTAATCGTTCTTCTCCCTAGAAGAAAAATCAACAGTAGGACTAGCATCAGAGACTTCCATGAGCAAAAGGAGGCAATGCACAGAAACCCTTTGCAGTTAGAGTTCCATCTTGATTACATTAACAGCAGCTGAGCTGCTTCCATTCCTGCTCTGCCACGACTGTTTGCCTGCGGCTCAGGGAGGTGAGGAACAAGTCCCCTGCAGCCGATCGCGGCTTTCCCCGCACCCGGTCCCTCAGCCACCTGATCAGTTGTTATTGCATCTGCCTGATTGACCTGCAGAGGCTGTTCCCACCTTGGATGAATATAAATGTGTATAAACTCTACAAACTCTAAAATTCTGTGGACAATCAAAAAGGAAAATCACACGTGACAGTCCTTCACCTTTGCTTTTTCATCCATTATTAGCGGTGTCTTTGGAGGCACCAATAAATGGCAGCCAGCAGTGGCAGCCGTAGTGCGAGGGGTTAACTTGGTGTGGATGGGAAGTGCTGATCCTGCCTCCCTGAGGGAAGGAGAAGAATCGGGGAAGGCCCATCCCCTGAGAACAGATCTAAACCCACAGGGAATATGCAAATTGGCAGCAATTCTTCACTTAATGAAGTCCACAACAAGGAAGAGATCAATATTTTCCTGCCAATCATCAATGTTTTACACTGTAATTTCAGGGGGAAAGAAAGTCACGTACTTGCCTCCACTGGTAATGAGCCTGTTAACTCTGCTCCTGTGTGTTTGCGTGTGTGCGTCTGAATATCACGTTTTATACTAAAAAGCCTCTTTTCCTGCCCTTCTGCAAGTCATTCCATCATGTCTACTTCAAAAATCCATACTGGGGATGTTGGTTTTGGACGAACGGTTTAAAACTCGGAATATTTGAGACGTCATAGTAAAAAACAAAAAAAAAAAAAAAAGAAAAGAAAAAAAAAAAAAGTCTTTTTCCGTGAGCGATCTGTCCATTGGAAGCGATTCTTCCCGTGCTCCACAAGTAGCAGACATCGCTGACGAAGAGAAGGGCGCCGAGGAGAAAAGCCCACGCAGGAAATCCCGGGTGTCCGTTGGAGGGCGGATCTTCATCGCTGCTGGTTCTGTCGGCCGGGGCGGGGGGAATGAAGGCGGCTGGAGGGCGCGCTTTGGATGTGCAGAGAGGGAGAGGGCAAAGCCGTGCGCCCGGACTGCTCCCCGAAGCTGTGCGAGTGGCGGAGGAGGTTGTGCTGCGGGGGCTTCCCGAGGGGCTTCGAGTCGTCGCACTGGACGCGTCGGATCGGAGACGACCTTCGTGGGCGCTGCGAGTCGGTTTGTCGGCGCGGCAGAGAGCCCACGGTCACGGGAGGGCTGTGCCTCGGCGGTGTCCGGTCTCGGTCGGAGGAGGAAGGAGGAGCTCGGGGGGCGAAGCGGCCGCGGCGGAGCTGAGCGGCGGGCGGGCAGCGCCGCGTCCGTGGCGCCGGGGCCGTCCCCGCGAGCTGTCCGTGGGCAGGGCAGGGCAGGGCAGGGCAGGGCAGGGCAGGGCGGGCAGCGCTCGGCAGCGCTCGGTGCCTGCAGTGCCGGGAGGAGGCTGCGGGCGCCGCTGTTGCCCGAGGAGGAGCGAGAGGAAGGCCGGAGCGCTGCAGGCAGCCCCGCCCGCTGCGGCCCGGCTCGCTCGCTCGCTCGCTGGCTGGCTCGGCGGCCGGGCGGTCTGCGAGCGTCCCCGCGGTGCGGAGCCGTGCTGCAGCGAGGCGGAGGGGCCGGCGGCAGCGGCCGGGAGCGGCGAGCCGGGGCCGGAGCGGCGAGTGGGAGCCGGAGCCGGGGCCGCGGCGGAGATGTGCGCGGCGGGGAGGCGCCGGGGCCGGCGGGAGCGAGCCCTGCTGTGGTGCGTGCTGGTGGCGGCGTGGGAGGCGGCGTGGGGGCAGCTGCGCTACTCGCTGCCCGAGGAGATGCCGAAGGGCTCGTTCGTGGGCGACGTGGCCGCGGACCTGGGGCTGCAGCTGCCGGCGCTCGGCCCCCGCGGCGTCAGCCTTGTCTCGGCAGGTAGGACGCCGTATTTCGCCCTGCACGGGAAGACGGGCCATTTGGTGACGGCGCAGAGGATAGACAGAGAGCAGCTGTGCGAGAGTGGGCAGCAATGCGTGTTGCGCTGCGAGGTGATCGTGGAGGGGGAAATGCAGGTTTACGAAATCGAAGTGGAGATCACGGACATTAACGACAACGCGCCCAGTTTCAGGGAAATTGAGTTGGAGGAGAGAATGAGCGAAACGACAGCGCCAGGGTCGCGGTTTCCGCTGTCCGAGGCTCAGGACCCGGACTCGGGGCCGAATTCGGTGCGGAGCTACGAGCTGAGCGGCGACGAGCACTTCTCGCTGGCCGTGCGGGCGGGCCCCGGCGGGGAGCAGCGTCCCGAGCTGGTGCTGGCGAAGGCGCTGGACCGGGAGGAGGCGGCGTTTCACGAGCTGGTGCTGAGGGCGAGCGACGGCGGCGAGCCGGCACGGACGGGCACGGCGCGGATCCGCGTGGCGGTGCTGGACGCGAACGACAACGCGCCCATGTTCGGTCAGGCGGAGTACACGGCGCGTGTGCCCGAGGACGTGCCCGTGGGCTCCACCCTCCTCACCGTCACGGCCACGGATGCCGACGAGGGGACAAACGGACACGTGAATTACTCCCTGAAGAACATCCCGAAAAAAGCCTCGCAGATTTTTCAGCCGGATGCGGAGACGGGAGCGATCACGCTGGTGCGGAGCCTGGACTTCGAGGACGCTGCTCTGTACGAATTCGATGTGCAGGCACGGGACGGTGGGGGTGTTTCTAATAGAGCAAAAATCACCATCACTGTGACTGACGTGAACGACAACGCGCCAGAAATTTCGGTGCGGTCGGCGCTGAGCGAGATCTCGGAGGACGCCCCGTCGGGGACGGTGGTGGCCCTGCTGCACGTGCAGGACCGGGACTCGGGGCCGAACGGCGAGGTGCGGTGCTCGCTGGGCGGGGGCGTCCCGTTCCGGCTGCAGAGCTCGCAGGGCAGCTACTACCGCGTGGTGACGGCGAGGGAGCTGGACCGGGAGGAGGTGTCGGAGTACAACGTGACGGTGCGGGCGGCGGACGGCGGGTCGCCGGCGCTGTGGAGCAGCGCGGTGCTGGCGCTGCGCGTGCTGGACGTGAACGACAACGCGCCGGTGTTCGCGGAGGCGCGCTACAGCGCCCGGCTGCCCGAGAACAACGCGGCGGGCGCGCTGGTGCTGACGGTGCGGGCGGCGGACGCGGACTGGGGGCAGAACGCGCGCGTGCGGTACCGGCTGGCGGAGGGGCGGGTGCGGGGCGCGCCGCTGTCGTCGTACGTGTCGGTGCAGGCGGAGACGGGCGCGCTGTACGCGCTGCGCTCCTTCGACTACGAGGAGGTGCGCGAGGTGGGGCTGTGGGTGCGGGCGGAGGACGGCGGCGCGCCGGCGCTGAGCAGCAACGTGTCGGTGCGGCTCGTGATCGTGGACGAGAACGACAACGCGCCGCAGGTGCTGTACCCGCCGCCGGCGCCGGTGCCGGTGCCTGGCGTGGGCGCGGGCGCGGGCGCGGTCGCGGTCTGGGCGGGCGTGGAGCTGGCGCCGCGCTCGGCGGAGCCCGGGGCGCTGGTGGCCAAGGTGGTGGCGGTGGACGCGGACGCGGGTCAGAACGCGTGGCTGTCGTACGAGCTGGCCAAGGCGACGGAGCCGGGGCTGTTCCGCGTGGGGCTGCACAGCGGCGAGGTGCGCACGGCGCGCTTCCCGCTGGCCCGCGACGCGGCGCGGCAGAGCCTGGTGGTGGTGGTGAAGGACCACGGGCGGCCGGCGCTGTCGGCCACGGCCACGCTGACGGTGGTGCTGGCCGAGAGCGTGGCCGAGCTGCTGTCGGAGCTGGGCAGCGCGGCGGCGGCGCCGGGCGAGCCGGCCGGCAGCCTGACGCGGTGGCTGGTGGTGGCCGTGGCGGCCGTGTCCTGCCTCTTCCTCGCCTTCCTGCTGCTGCTGCTGGCGCTGCGCCTGCGGCGCTGGCGCCGCTCGCAGCTGCTGGCGGCGGGCAGCGGCGCCTTGCGCGGCGTGCCGGCCTCGCACTTCGTGGGCATCGACGGCGTCCGCGCCTTCCTGCACTCCTACTCGCACGAGGTGTCGCTCACGGCCGACTCGCGCAAGAGCCAGCTCCGCTTGTCGGGCGGCAGCTGCTGCGACACCCTCCCGGCCCGGCCGCCGCCCGACGAGCCCGCGCCGCTGCTCGGGGAGGACCCCGCCGCTGCCCCGGTGAGTTCCTCCTGCCAGCCCCACTTGCTGCGCGACCTCTCCCCGCGCTGCTCTGCTCTGCCCCTTCCGTGCCGAGTCGTGGCTCCTGCCGCGGGAGGGGGAGGTCCGAGCAAGGCAGCGGCTCCCGCAGCAGCCGGCGCCGTGTGCCGGTGCCACTTGCCCGCGGGAGGCGACCGCGGGGTTGCGGCTCAGCGCCCCAGCGGGAGAAGGGGGGAGTGGCCGCGAGAGTCTGCGGGTGGCTGCGTGGGAGGGGCACTGCGGGAAACGGGAGGTCTGTCTTGCTGGTTCCCGATCCCTTAAGGCCGACTTAGCGAAAAGGGAGCTGGGCGTGCCTTGGCTTGACACTCCCTGCTACGGCAAGAGCCGTCTGAGGGCGGGCGGGGAGAGAGTGGGAGGGAGACGTATTTCCCCCAGTGCAGGTGGTCAACGGCCCCAGTTTCTCCCTGGGGAGCGCTCCTCTTTTACTTTTAGCCCCTTGCTGTTTCTTCCCAGAAGACTGGTGAGCCGACAAATGCATCTTCCTCCTCAGTACAGAGCTGTAAAGATACCGAAGTGAAGTGCACGGCGTGCCAAAGAAGTTCCTCCTGAGCCATGTTATTGTAGCTCTGGTGGGTGCCCAGGGAGGTTCTTTTCGTGTGCTTTCAGGTTGTTGATTCGTTACGAACACCTTAAGTCTGACAAGTGACATAAAGAGAGGTTTGGGAATAGAAAGTGTGTTTATCTGTCCTATTACAGACCTTAATTATGAACCTACTGCAAATGCCATCATCAAACTGAGTATGTTGTGTTACTTTACCTTTTTTGTAGGGGTTAACCTCTTAGCTTGCAGCTTGTGATGAGTTAAAGGTGGGCCACTGTCTCTGAGGGTGTCTGGAAGATCACATCTGTTACAATTCTCTGACTGTCCCGTATGTTCCTTTCATGTTTAGAGTTGTGCAGAGAAAGACTTTTAGGTAGGTTTTCTTGAAATATAAGTGGAAAAAATTCTCTTCCTTGTAACATCGACATGGGCTGAAGTCATAAATTATCCACCGTAGGACGAAGTTGTCTGTGTGAATTTTCTTTAGGTGGAGTCTATCTGCTAATGATGATGATCAATGACAACTCTGTGAGATGTGAGGGGTTTGAGGAGAGTCTTGGGATGTTGTGTGTAAGGAGGTACCCTTGGAGACTAGGCCTGTGTTTTCATAATTACCAGAGTTTATTGCTGTAGTACAAAAAAGGAGTCTGAATGTTTCTCATAGTCTCCAACTGGCCAAGTTGTGGGTTGCTCCTTTTTCTCTGCTGTTGCATGATGTTTCCTGAGCATGGCAATTAATGAGTATAGACCTACACTTTACATTAGGATTTGAGAGTCGTGTATCTTCCACGTTGCCCATGTGCTGAAGAGGAATGATATGATATTGGAGTTGATGCTTTGATGGCCGTGTCTTAGTCAGAGCAGTCTATTGCTTATGCCCTTGAGAACACGTTACCTGTCTCTGAATTGGTGTGATGTGTAGATAAATCTCTCTGTATGTGTCCACGTTGTGATTCTTGTTCTCAGAGGAGGAGAACTGTGTGTGCAAATTTTCCTTAAGTGGTGTCTGTCTGCACAGGTTGCTTTCCTGTTACATGATGTTTTGGCAGTCTGAAAAATTCTGCTGTGGTATAATGTAAAACATCTAAAAGATGAAAAGGTGGTGTAAAAGTTCCCTTTGCCCTCATTGTCAGATAAGGCCCACAGTTTAGTTCCATACATGGTCCCTTTTTAACTGTCCAAAGGCGTCACACTGTGGAACAGTGGCTGTGGTCTTTGCTGTGAGCTGCTGTGTGAGCATCCTGTGGACTTCTTACCAACCAGATGCCTTCCTTGTGCATCTAATAGTCTTGACATAACCTGAAATGTTAAGCTGTGATTCCTTCTCTTCTGTAGGTTTGCCATTCTGCAGATGAAGCTAAAGGTTCTGTTGTAATTTCTCAGAAGGCTTATTTTCAGAATGAAGCCCATTATAAAGTCTTCCCACTTCCAGGTTCATGTTTGTGCAAAATGCACAGGCCACAGCTTAGAAAAATAGCAGAGGGCTGATGAATTTGTCTTAAAATGAACCCCCTGCTGCGAAGTCCAGAGTAAGACTTTAGGGCAGCACTGGCAGCTTGAGACCTCAGGGCCTTGCAGGTTCTCCCAGGGATGAATATCCATGCCTGCAGTGAAGACTGAGACACCTTCCTGGTGAGTTTTTCTGACACCACTTTCTCTTCTAATGCTTGCTCGCCTTCCTCATCTGATTTATGATCTTGTTGTTCTTTTCCTGGTGAGCAGACAAATGCATCTTCCTCCTCAGTACAGAGCGGTAACGATATCGCAGTGAAGTGCATGGATTGATGGTGGTGCCTGCTGAGGAGAAATGGTGTGGGCAGCTGGTCCTTTGATGCTGTGCGCTGGCAAGTTATAAGGGTCAAAGAAGAGTATGGAAGTTGTGAAGGTTTGAGGACAAGAGGGTTGGGATCTGTGCATAGAGGGGTTGTTGAAGGACACAGAAGAGACGGTTTGCTGCTCTCTGTGATCAGTGCCCAGCTGTAGTATGTGAGTTTCTCCCTGCGAAAGAAGATTCTCCTCAGCCATGTTAGTGCAGCTGTACTGGGAGGCTTTGGAGGTTCCTTCTGTATGCTCGCAGCAGGTTGTTGATTCATAAGGAACACCTTAATGATGTAGTTATGACAAATGACATCATGAGAGCTTTGGGAAGAGCAAAAGTTTATCCCCATCCTACTAAGCACCTTAATTATGTAGCTCCTCTAAGTGCCATCATCTCCTAGAGTATGTTGCGGTCCTTTCCTTTCTGCAGGGGTTAACTTCTTGCTTTCCTCGTAGTGGGGAGCTAAAGGTGGGCCACTGTGTCTGAGGGTGTGTGGATGGTCACATCTGTTACACTTGTCTGACTGTCCCCTATCTGTGTTTCATGTTTACAGCTGTGCAGTGAAAGATGTTCCTAGGTATGTTTCCCTCAAACATTGCTGTAAGAAATGCTCCTCCCTGTCACGTAGACATGGGGGAAAGTCAAATATTATCTATGGTGGGGCAAAGTTGTCTGTGTGACTTTTTTTTTGGGTGGAGTCTATGATGATGATTAGTGACAACCCGCGTGATCTGTGAGGGGTTTGAGGAGAGACTTGGTGATGCTGTGTGTAAGGATCACAGGCCTGTGCAGACTAGGTCTGTGTTTTGATAATCACCAGGGTTTACTGTAGGACTACAACAAATGAGTCTGAATGTTTCTTTAGTTTTGGAGATGACACTTCTCCACTAGTCTCCAACTGGCCAAGTTTTGGGTTCATCAATTTTCTCTCCTGTTACATGTTTTCTGTGCATTGCAATTAATGAGCATAGATGTACACTTTACATTCAGGTTTGAAATTCATGTATCTTCCATGTTGCCCACGTGCTGAAGAAGAATGATACAATGTTTTTGTGTTGATACTTTGATGACCGAGTCTTAATGAGAGCTCTCTACTGCTTATGCACTTGAGAACATTTTGCTGTTATTTGAACTGCTGTGATGAGCAGAGAAATCTCTTTGTATGTGTCCATGTTGTGATTCTTGTTCTCCGAGGAGGAGAACTGTTTGTGCAAGTATTGCTTCAGTGGTGTGTCTCTGTGCAAGTTGCTTTCCTGTTGCATGATGTTTTGGCAGACTGAAAAATTCTCTCTTTAGATATAGGGCAGGTGAAAATTTTTGCTGTTGTATAATGTGTAATGTCTAGAAGACGTAGAGGTGGCCTAAAATTTCCATTTTTGCTAGTTTTTAGGTAAGGCCCACAGTTTATTTCCAGACATGATCCAGTTTTAACTGTTTGAGGACTTTATACTGAGGAACGTTGGCTATGGTCTTTGGTGTAAGTTGCTGTGTGAGTGTCCGGTGCACTTCTTACCAACCGGATACCTTTCTTGGGTAGCTAATAGAGTTGCCATAATCTGAAATATTAAGCTGTGATTCCTTCACTTATTTAAGTTTCCCATTATTTGCCTTACCTGTTGTCCAGCTCTATATCTGGGCATCATTGTGCCCCGCAACCCCTGAAGCATCAAAAGAAAGATCTCTTCTAATTCTTAGGCTGGGGAGCAGTTTCCATCCCGACCTTGACAGTGTTCAGCTGGCAAGACAAAGACTTTGCTAGCCCTCTGTTTCCCTAAGGTGTCCTTGAATGAACTGCCCTGTTGCCTGTGGCTGACACATGGCCAAGAGCTGAATATTGTCCATGGTGGAACTAAAGGGTGTGAATGCAGAGCGAGGGGGGCGAGGGGCTGGCTTTGGCCCAGGCAAAGGGGTGGCTCAGGGTGGTTTGGGCTGGGCAAGGGTTTGCTGTCAGGCCTGGTGCCAAGGCCTGTGCCATTTTTGCTGTGATCCTGGTTTCCCTGTTCTGAAAGGCAATGGTAGTCCTCCAATCACAAAGTGTTTGAACGGTAACTGTGCAGGTAAAATGATGCTGTTTGGTTATAATGGCTCATAACTCCTGTGTGAAACTTCCTTTATCTCTCTCTACCTGCTTGCAAAGTGGAGTTTCTTCACAGCCAAAATTAGTCATTCTTTCAGGCCTTTTTTTCCTGGAAGGCCATGACTGATGGCTCATTTTGAAATTTTTTTTGAGCTTTTGAAACTGCGAGTCTTGTTTTTGCAGCAAATAATTACTTTAACCGCCTAATACAGAAAGTTATCTCTGAAGAAAATGAAGCTGAAGCTAAAGAAGAATCTGTTGCAATTTCTCAGAACATATATATTCAGGCCTATGATAAGTTGTTCACACTTACAAGTTCATTTTTGTGTGAGATGAGCAGGCCACACATTGGAAAAATTAGAAAAATCGCAGAGAACTGATGACTTTGTCTTAAAATGAACCCCCTGCTGCAAAGTCCAGAGTAAGACTTTAGGGCAGCACTTGCATCTTGAGAGCTCAGGGACTTGCAGGTTCTCCCGGGGATGAATTTCCACGCCTGCAGTGAAGACTGAGACACCTTCCCGGTGAGTTCCTCTGACACCACTTTCTCTTCTAATGCTTGCTCGCCTTGCTTGTCTGATTTATGATTTTGCTGTTCTTTTCCTGGTCTCCTATGTACGTAGGTTTAATTGTAACGACCTGCACAGCTTCGTTTAGCAAAGCGTGATGTGTTAGTGCCTCTTGCTCATGCCAGAGCGGCTGTGAAAGGCAGGAGATGTGAGGGTATCTTTGTGTTCTCTTCTAGTCTTTGGGGAACAGAGGTAAACATGACCTCACCGGAGGATAGTAGCAGGGTCATATGTATTGTCTACAGCACATGCCCTTGAGTAGGATGAGATTGTCTTGAAACGGGACGTGAATGGTGTCGCTTCCCACTCAGACTCCCACTGAGATGATGAAGAGAAGTGACAGATTCGTGGCCCCGCATATAATTTTCTGTGATGGTACAATACCTTATACTTGTAATGCTTAATAATCAGTCTTATTGCTTGTGTCGTATCATTATCTGCTCACCCGTGTTGTACCACTTCCTCTTATATTGTTTATTAGTTATTATCATCGAAACCAGTGTGTGTGGAAGGGAGTACTATGTATACTTTATAGCTGTAGTCGTTAGACAGCTTGTGTTCCTTTCTGTGCTCCTTACCACACACTGAGCAGTTTTACTTATAGGATGGGATGACTACAAATTCAAAAATATTTTTATCATGAAGAGCATGTAAGTCGGGGTGTTTTTCTCCAGTCGGTTTTTGATTCACTGAACTATCACTCTTCCCTTCCGTTTCTTCTTCATTGAAGAGTCATTGTTTTGGATGGCTGGAAGTCATTGTTTGAAATGAACGTAGAGCTGCCTGTGCCTGCTTTGGGGCCGGTCTTGTGTTTGTCTCACATGTGAAAGTTCCTCACAGAGCATGTTCCTCAGCCAGTACTGACAGCAGGGTCAGTTTGGTGCTCCAGAAACACAGTGTGTGTTTTTGACATTGGATTAATGTCTTCCTCAACCAGAAGACCATCCTCAGGCATTCCTACAAATTCCTTGTTGCTTGCAGGAATTTCCTGGGTTGGGTTAGAAGCGAGCTCCATGCTGTGGGTGGAGGAAGAGGATGGAAGAGGAGCGAAATTACTTGTTGATAAGTAATAGATTATGAAATACATGTGCATACATTAGCACTGGTTGGTCACCTTGGTGGTGAGCCACCGCTGTGCTCTTCCAGAGGTGGGGTGAAGTTGAAGAATTGGATGTTCCCAGACAGAATATCATGTTTCTAGACTCCATAAGCCTCCAAACTACAGGTGAAGTGCTAGAAGGTAGAAAGTATTGTCACAATACCTGCTGGGATGCATTACGGATGAAACAGCACAGCACAAAATGTCAAGATGCTCTTGCTGTGAAGGATAATTCATTTGTGCTTTCTTTGTCACCTTACAGCTTGTTTCGTAACGTCATCCCTCCCGTAGCAGTGCTTGATCATTCAATGCCAAGTGTTTAAAATGGATTCAAAGGGTGTGTGAAGAACCGACTGGCAGGCATTCTTACTAGCATTACTGGTTAGAAAGGTTGTTTCCTCCTTCTCGGGTCCTCACCAGCCGGTGAGCACAGCCAGAGTCTTGCTGCAGCTGGAGTGATTTTGTGAGATTGACCAGGAGAAGCTTGTTCATGCATCAGCCTTGTGGCCTCTTCTTCCAAATAAGGGGTAATGTCTGAAGGATCCTTATTGGCATATGGGCATTTATAACCTGCTTTACTGTTTGTCATCGTCTCGTTTACATAGAGGCGCAGTTAGGGGTACTGGTGTAGTTTGAATGTGTAGCGACAGTATGTCCTCTCGTGGCTAATTTTGATATAAAGTTCATTTTTTGCTCAGCAGCGTTACTCATAGGATTGGACTATTAGGCATAAACAGATATCTTCGACGTGAATGGCTTATTAGTTGAAGGTTTTCCTAAGAGTCTAGCTTTATTGCTTTATTTATCACTAGTGTCTTACAACACAGTTTTCACTTACTGTCAATTCTTTGAAAGGCATGTAAACACTACCTTAGTAATGCAATGCAAGAAACATTGAAGAACAAACATTGAAGAAGGGCGAGATTCTGTGTAAATACCTGCTCAGTATGGGTAGATGACCCTCTTGTATGCCTCTCCATCTGAAGTAGAATGTGGCTACTCCTTTGTGAGAATGGTCTTGTTGGTGAGGATGAGTCGAGTCTGTTCTCACAGCCAAGTTGTGGCTGAGCGATCTCGCTTGCTATTAACTGCTACAGTGGAAGAAGCTGGTGAAGGAGAAACTGAGTCTCGTAGCCCATATCTTTTCCTATTTTGAGGATGTGGCAGGAGTGGCATAACCAGCAACTGAGTCATCACCAGGCCCCTGTGAGGGAGCACTGTAGCCGCCCACGGAGTCCTCGCTTCTTTGGAGCAGTAGGAGCGTTAGGAAAATCTACTGTTCCTGTAGTCTCCAAACGCGTGCTGTCTGTAGCACTTGAAATGGTTCAGCTGGTCAGAATATGCCCTGCTCTCCATGGTCACGAACCAAGGTAGGTTGGTTTGCAGAGTCCTGCATTCTGCGGCTTCCTTTGATTGGTACTGAGATGCGGTGCTATCGCACAAACAGGCAGCGAGGAGGATCAAGTACCTTTTCGTAGGTGTTGCACTCAGGAGCGTTTTATCCTTTCCATTTTCGTTCCACCTGCCCCACGCCTGGAGTGTTCTGGGTATTTCTGTGCAAAGTACACGTCGCTGTGTTTGTGTCATGGGTAAACTGCCTTCTCTGGCGCTGCCCTTCTCTCCTTTCTTTTTGCAACTTCTTTTTGCCATTATTTTTCTACACGTCTCTGGGTTGTCCCGGGAAAGGCAGCCGACACGTCGCATACACCTCGGGCATCACCACAGAGGAGCATACCAACTCCTTTTTACGATTCTCGCCAGAGCACGCTGGTAATTGAAGCCTCCTGGGCGCATGGGTACCTTTTTGCTGCCCATCCACGTTGGTCGATCTGCTTACTTACCCCGTTCACTGGAAGAAATAATTTTGAAGAAACGCTCTGACTTCCCCGTACTGGAGCAAGAAGTTGTGGCGATCTCCGTGTTTTGTAGAACTGGGAGCGTGCGTTGATACCGCTGTTGTAGAGAACGAGGCTTGCTATTTTCTCCCAGTGTCGGTCACTCCGGGAGGCACGGAGAAGAAAAGGGCTGGAAACAAGGATGCTTTCAAGGAAACTGGCGGGCCCAGTGCTGCCTTTGTACAGCAGTTTCTCCTGTGCAGCATTTTGTAGCTGTTGCTGCTCAGAGGCCGCAGAATCGAAAGAAAAGAGCTCGGGAAAGACAGCGCGCGGCAGTAGCAGAAACTGCTGGAGTATGCCAGGCGTCTGCGGGACAGTTACCCGCCTGTACTTACCTGCAGTCACGGGTGCTCTGCCGTGCGGCGTCTGCGCGCTCCTCCGCGGCTCGGTACCGCGTTCCCCGGCCAGGCTCGTCCTTTCCAGCACGGAGCAGAGGTGCGCGGCCCGCCCTGCCGCGGGCAGGAGCAAACCCGCCGAGCTGAGCCTTTGGGTGGCCGACGGCGCCGACTCCCGGCAGCTGCCGGCAGCGCGGCTCGGAGCCCGGCCCCCGGGAGCGCGGGCACCCGCCGGCTGCGGTGGCGTCGCGGCGCCTCCGGGTGCCGCTGTTGGCCGCCGCGGAGCGGCGCTGGAGCCGGAGCCGCCGGCGGAGCCGGAGCCGCCGGCGGAGCCGCCGCCGCGTCCTGCCCCCGCAGGCTGCTCGCTCGCCCGGCGCCGGCCAGAGCGGCAGCGGCACGGGCAGCAGAGGCGAGAGGCGGCGCGGCGCGGGGAGCGGCGGCGTCCGAGCCGGCGCCGAGCTCGCAGCCCTCCGGCGGCCCCCGCGTTCGGTGCGGAGAGGGGCTGGAAGGGCGGGAGGGCAGCGGCAGGAGGGAGGAGCGCGGCGAGCGGTGCCGAGGATGGCGGGCAGGCAGCGGCCGAGCCGCCGGCGAGCCGCCGGGCGAGTGCTGCTGCTGCCCGCTCTGGTGCTGGGCTTGTGCTGCCGGGCGGCGCCGGAGCGGCTCCGCTACGCCATCCCCGAGGAGCTGGGCAGAGGCTCGCTGGTGGGGCCGCTGGCGCGGGACCTGGGGCTGAGCCCGGCGGAGCTGCCGGCACGCAAGCTGCGGCTCAGCGCCGAGAAGCAATACTTCGGCGTGAGCGGGGAGAGCGGGGAGCTGTACGTGAGCGAGCGGCTGGACCGGGAGGAGCTGTGCGGCGAGGCGGCGTCCTGCTCCGTCAGCTTCGAGGCGCTGGTGCAGAACCCGCTCAACGTGTTCCACGTCGAGGTGGCCATCCGGGACGTCAACGACAACTCCCCGCGCTTTCTGCAAGACAGTTTTCAGCTGGAGATCAACGAGTTGACTGTTCCCGGTGCGCGGTTCTATTTGGGAGTGGCCGAAGATCCGGACGTGGGCAGTAACTCGCTGCAGGGCTATGAGCTGGAGGCCAACGGCTACTTCGCGGTGGAGGTGAAGGAGAGCCCGGACGGCAGCAAGGTCGCGGAGCTGGTGCTGCGCCGAGCGCTGGACCGGGAGAGCGAGCCGAGCCTGCGGCTGGTACTGACGGCGCTGGACGGCGGCGAGCCGCCCCACAGCGGCACCGCCCAGATCTGCATCAACGTCACCGACGCCAACGACAACGCCCCCGTGTTCGAGCAGGACCGGTACCGCGCGAGCCTGCGGGAGGACGCGCCGCCCGGCTCCACGGTGCTGCACGTCTCCGCCTCCGACGCCGACGCCGGCACCAACGGCCGCGTCACGTACGGCTTCGGGAAAACGCCGGCCAAGGTGCTGCAGAAGTTCGTGGTGGAGGCGGAGAGCGGGACGGTGACGCTGCGGGAGGCGCTGGACTTCGAGGAGACGCGCGCGTTCAGCCTGGCTGTGGAGGCGAGGGACGGGGGCGGTCTGGTGGCGCACTGCGAAGTGGAGGTGGAGGTGCTGGACGTGAACGACAACGCGCCCGAAATCGCGGTGCTGTCGGTGTGGAGCCCGGTGGGCGAGGACGCGCCGGTCGGCACGGTGGTGGCCGTCCTGAAGGCGAGCGACCCGGACTCCGGGGAGAACGGGCGGGTGTCGTGCGAGCTGTCGGGCGAGGCGCCGCTGTCGCTCGTGGCGTCGCCGGGCGGCTCGTACAAGGTGGTGACGGCGAGCGCGCTGGACCGGGAGCAGGCGGCCGAGCACCGCGTGACGGTGGTGGCCCGGGACCGGGGCAGCCCGTCGCTCTCGAGCCGCGCGGCGCTGGTGCTGGAGGTGTCGGACGTGAACGACAACGCGCCGGTGTTCGAGGAGGCCGCCTACAGCGCCTACGTGGCGGAGAACAACGCGGCGGGCGCGCCGGTGCTGCGCGTGCGCGCGCGGGACGCGGACGCGGGCGCCAACGGGCGCGTGAGCTACTGGCTGGCGGGCGGCAGCGCGGGCGCGGCGCCGCCCGTGTCGGTGGAGGCGCGGAGCGGCGCGGTGTACGCGCAGCGCTCCTTCGACTACGAGCAGTGCCGCGAGTTCGCGGTGGCGGTGCGGGCGCAGGACGGCGGGGCGCCGGCGCGGAGCTCGACGGCGACGGTGCGCGTCTTCGTGCTGGACCGCAACGACAACGCGCCGCGGGTGCTGTGGCCGGCGGCGGGCGCGGGGGCGGGCGCGGGGGCGGCGGCGGGAGCGGCGGGGCCGTTCGAGGTGGTGCCGCGCTCGGCCGAGGCCGGGTACCTGGTGGCCAAGGTGGTGGCGGTGGACGCGGACGCGGGGCGCAACGCGTGGCTGTCGTACGAGCTGGTGCAGGCGCCGGAGCCGGCGCTGTTCCGCGTGGGGCTGCACAGCGGCGAGGTGCGCACGGCGCGGGCCGTGTCGGAGCGGGACGCGGCGAAGCAGCGGCTGGTGGCCGTGGTGAAGGACCACGGGCAGCCGGCGCTGTCGGCCACGGCCACGCTGCACGTGGTGCTGGCCGAGAGCTTGCAGGAGGCGCTGCCGGAGCTGGGAGACAAAGACGCTGTGTCCGAGCTGACGTCTGATCTAAACCTCATTCTTGTAGTGGCGCTCGTTGTCGTGTCCTTGTTATTCGTTTTCACAGTTGTTTTGATATTGTTCCTTAAATGCCGACGGTCAAGGAGCCCTCCGGTTTTTATAACTTCCGATAAGGATCTGTACTCCAGCCTGGGCTCCAAAGCACCGTATAACTACTGCAGCAGCACGCTGCCCTTGCCCTACTCCTACGAGGTGTGCTTAGCTTCCGAATCGGGACAGAAGGACTTCACATTTCTGAGACCAGGGGCGGCAGCGCTGTCTGACCGTCCCCTGGGTGGGGAACCCGTCTCAGACACTCACTCCGGGAAGGACCCTCATAGCCCCGGGAGCTCGGCACAGGTGAGCTTCTGTCCTGGGGTCTCTCTCTGCTGCTTTGTCTGAATCATCTTTTTCCCCTTTTCTGCCGTGGGGGATCGGTGAGGAACCCGCAGAGCTTAATGTCGCCTCTGGGCGCACTGCTCAATAGCTCAGGGGTGGGTTGTCTGTGTGATCTGGACTCTCTCTTTTGATCTGCCCGATCTCATCCGCGATTTGTCGGTTGTGCCCCGAGGAACGACGCTATGTTGTCAGTACTGCTGTCTGTCTGTCTTACTCCAGGTGCGATTTTTACTGAGCTGGGGTGGTGGGGTGGACACGGGTGGAGCGGGGCAAATGTGTTGTGGGTTCCAAAGCTGAAACAACCCTTTCATCTCGGTCTGTTGACAGCTTCATTTATTTTGTCTGCCAGATTTGAGCACTTTCCTGTGGTAATGGTGTATGTTCATTCCTCCAGTGAGGGCAGCAGCTCTGTAGTTCTGTTTTCCCTCCTAGCTCGGTTCTTTTCATACTCTGAAACCCTCAAAAGGAAGATGTTGTGTACACCCGTGACTTAACATTTCCCCTCCATCTGGGGAGCCAGGGCTGGTGCCTCACTGTATCTCTGAAACCAGAACCAAGCAGAAAATTCTTTGGGTCCTCTGCTGCCACCGGCTCCTCTGGGAGGCTCTGGCTGGGATTTGGATTGAACCTGTTCCTGAAGGAATTCCTGGGACAGTGGAAAGGCATCCTTTCCCTTACCTGTCACACATTTCCACTCCTCGCCATCCAAATTGTGCTTTCAGGTGCTCCAAGGTGTCACTTTCAATATTCGGGCTTCCTGACAAAGTGAGGGAGATGTAATGTCAATCGAAATATGGGAAATGGAAATGTTCAGTCTTCCATGCCTTTCCTGAGTCTCTTTACTGTACTTGGCTCTCTGCTTCTTCACCATCCTACTAGTGCTGAGATTAAGCAGACAAGGTACTCTGAATACAGGTGACGTGTACACTCATATGAAGAGAAACCTCTTCAGAATTGCGTTATGCATGTTAGAGAAATTGCTCCGTCAATAGAGTTTAGGAAAAACACAAAATACGCAGTGTTTGGGGAAAAGATTCAGAGTTTATTTTAGAGAAAAGTGGCTGAAGACTGTTTCAAGATTTATCTTAAGAGCTGTGGATTTTCTTCTTTTTAGGTTATATATAATAAAGAAAGGTGGTTGAGATTTGGTTGTGTAAGGGCCTATGAGAAAAGAAATCTGCTCTCAGCTCTGTCAGCCTGCAGACATGGCTTGTTACAGAAGTGCTCCAAAACGGACAGAGGGACATAACATGTACTTACATGCACAATGCAGCTGTGGAGGGCAAAGCATATCGCTTTCCTTCTCAGTCTTTAAAGTGCTCCAGAATGAAATTTTATTAAAATACAACGCTAGATGACTAACTTTGCATTTTATCAGTGTGAAGTCTATATGTTGATCACATTCTATGGACTGGTGATAAGAATGGTAAGTAGCGCTGATATGGTTTATCTTTCGGCAATGATTATTCAGTAGGAAAAGGGAATAGCTGAGCACATGGAAAGGAAAGACTGTGCTGACCCATTTGATATTGTTGACTCTTCATATAAGCACAGAACTACCGCATCTCTGGATGGATCCCATGTGATCAGGGCATTTAACAGGACCATGCGGGGTGAGGACACGTAGCAAGGGTTGAGGTCCCTGTCACTCTGGCGAGTGTCGTGTCTCCCAGGTTGGTGCGGGAGATTTTCAGTCCCGCCACTGTGCAGTCAGCCATGACAAGCAGCGGGTTACAGATAACCAGCCACAATGTTTCTGAGCCAGTTCAGCAGGGCACAGAGAGCCTTGTCATTTCTCTCCATGAGCAAATCAATGCGAGGGGGCTGATTTCCAGTCTGGTTTCTTTCCCGGACATCGCTGTCCCTTCCGTATCAGTCTCAGCTGTGGGAAGACACCTGGATGCTGTGTTTCTCAGCCACAGGGCTCCTGGTGCTCCCTTCTCAAGCTTCCTCGGTCCCTTTCCATTACACCATGACAGCTGAGCAGTTGCATGGGTGACAGACAATGAAGGGCAAAATTGCGGTAGTTTTATCCGTATGAGCGCTCGAAACGTCAGAAAACCTGACATATCACGAGTTGTTGACAGCAACAACCCCAAACGCAGGCAGACAGCCCGGGAATTGCAGTTTCTCGCCCAGGCGCTGCCGCTGCCGTGGTCTACACGGTGCTGTGACCTGCCGGGCTGTTGCTGCACGGGAACAGGAACCGCTTCTGCCCCCGGTGAACCAGCACGTCGCAGATCGTGATTCCCTTAGGTGTGGCTGGTGGAAACAGATACCGGGGAGCAAGATAGGAGGTGGAGAAGAGGGCGTAATAAACCGACATTTCTGCGATTTGTCGGGGAAGATACCTGCTGGGACAGTGGTGGCGGTGGGGAGCCGGAGGGACTCCTGCTCAGGAGCTGCCCCGCGGGGTGACTGTGCTGCGGCAGGAGTTGCTGCTCGTAGCTCGGCAGCACAAAATCCGCGTCGCTCGGCCGGCGCCACTGCTTTGGCGGCGCACTGAAGCGAGACGCCATGGGATGTCAGGAAGGGGCTGACCAACCATTTGGGTGGGAGGGCCGTCCTCCCGAAGGTCCCGAGGGACACTCGGAACTGATGCGTCGTGCCGGGGGTTGGCTCTCGCCGGAGCCCTGCGTGCCTCGACCGACCCTCCCCACCTCTCATCCCGCCACCCCACCTCCCCTCTCTGCTCCCGCTGCCTCTTTCCAACGAGTTTTTCCCGTGGGGGGGGTGGGTGGGGGGAGTGGGAGGGATATCCCCCTCCCCCGCTCCGTTTCCACATCGCCCCTTTTGGCGTCATCCTCTCCGCCAACTCTTACACCTTCTTGCCCGCACACGCGGTCCCCTTGCCCGGTCTGCGCTGCCTTTGCCAGCGCTCTCCTAGCCCCGGCTGTCATTTTTAGCTGGGTTTCTCGCAAAGGCTGTGGCTCTCCCTTTCAGGGTCGACAGGCTTGAGCCCCGCTGCCTTCGGGCCGGGGCGGCGGGGGCTCCGGCAGCCCTACGCTCCGTGCAGTTATTGGCCGGGACTCTGTGTGCCGCTGTCGGCCAATGATGGAGCGGGGGGGAACTGGCGGCCCGGCCCCGCTCCGAGCCGGGATGAGGCGCAAACGATCTCAGAAAGAGCCTGGGAGCGAGTGGCGGCGGAGCCCGCAGAGCGATGCCCGTCTCCCCGCCGGCCACCGCTTCCCGGGGCGCGCAGGGCAGCGCCATGACGGGGCGAACCGAGGGGTTCTAGCCGGGGCGGGGGGGCGAAGCGGGGAGCGCGGCCGTCCTGTGCGATGAACGGCGTTGCTGTAAGGAGCCGCGGGGTGACGACGGGGCAGGTATTGAGCCTCTTGCTTTTGTTCGGCGTTTCCGACTGGGGTTCCGCCGCCATTCGCTATGCGATTCCCGAGGAGGCGCGGAGAGGCTCCGCGGTGGGGAACGTGGTAGCCGACCTGGCGCTGGACCTCGGGCGGCTGCCGAGTCGCCGGCTGCGGGTGGTGTCCGGCGGCACCAAGAAGTACTTCGGGGTGGATCTGTCGAGCGGCGAGCTGCTGGTGAGCGAGCGGATAGACCGGGAGGAGCTCTGCGGCGCGCTCTCCCCCTGCTCCCTCAGCTTTGAGATCGTGGTGGAAAACCCGCTGGAGCTGTACAGCGGCGCCGTGGAGATCCAGGACATCAATGACAACGACCCGGTTTTTCCCAGCAGCCAGGCGAGGCTGGAAATCAGCGAGTCGGTGGCGGTCGGAGCGCGCTTCCCGCTAGAGAGCGCGCAAGACCCCGATGTGGGGATTAACTCTTTGCAGACCTACCAGCTCAGCGTCAACCCACACTTTGCCCTCGACGTGCAGACGAGGGTGGATGGCAGCAAGTATGCGGAGCTGGTGCTAGAGAAGGAGCTGGACAGGGAGGAGCAACGGGAACTCCACTTGGTCTTGACTGCGCTGGATGGAGGCAGCCCGCCACGGTCGGCCCACGTGCAGATCCACATTGACGTCGTGGATGCCAACGATAATGCCCCGGTCTTCAACCAGTCCACCTACAAGGCGAGCGTGAGGGAGAACACGCCCAGCGGTACCCTGGTCGCCAGGATCAGTGCGTACGATCTGGACGATGGGCCCAATGGAGACATCGTCTATTCCTTCAGCAGCCACACGCCTGCCAAAGTACGAGAACTCTTTGCTCTAGACTCAGCCACAGGCGAGTTGAGGGTCAAAGGACAGCTGGACTATGAGGAAACAAAGCTGTATGAGATTTACTTACAAGCTAAAGACAAGGGTGCCGTTCCTGGCGTAGCTCATTGCAAAGTGCTGGTGGAAGTTGTAGATGTGAATGACAATGCTCCAGAGGTGACAGTGACTTCTGTGTACAGCCCTGTGCCTGAAGATGCAGCTTCAGGGACAGTCGTAGCTCTGCTGAGTGTAACAGACTTGGACTCCTATGACAACGGTCTGGTGAACTGCTTCATTTCCCCTGGGATCCCGTTCATGCTCAGCTCCTCCCTCAAAAATTACTATACATTGAAAACAAAAGCAGCTTTGGACCGGGAAAAGGCATCAGAGTATAACATCACCATCACAGCCAGGGATGCAGGCTCACCACCCTTGTCTGTGGTAAAACAGATCCTGGTGCAGGTGTCAGATGTCAACGACAATGCGCCCAAGTCTTCCCAGGACTCCTATGATGTGTATGTGCTGGAGAACAACATGCCTGGCATCCCCATCCTTAACGTGAGCGCCGCAGACCCGGACCTTGGGCGCAACGCCCAGCTCTCTTATACCCTCTTGCAGGGTGACCCCACTGTAGGCCATCTCTTCTCCATCAACCGGGAGAATGGCACGCTCTACCTGCTCACCTCCCTGGACCACGAGGACCAGGTAGAGTTCAACATGATGGTGCAGGTCCAGGATGGCGGCTCTCCGCCTCTGGCCACTAACGTCTCAGTCAGTGTGTTTGTCACTGACCTCAATGACAATGCCCCAACTGTGCTGTACCCTCACCCCAACACCACTGCCACCTCTACCGACGTGGTGGCACCAGGTACTCCCGCCGGGCACATGGTCACCAAGGTGGTGGCAGTGGATGCGGATGCAGGGTACAATGCCTGGATCTCCTACACCCTGTTGCAGGCCACTGATCCCAGCCTCTTCTCAGTTGGGCTGCACAGTGGGGAGATCTTCACGGCCCGCCAGCTCCGGGAGGATGACACTCCTCAGCACACACTAGTCATCTTGCTGAAAGACCATGGGGAGCCTGTGCTGTCCTCCAGTGCCACTGTCTCCATCTCTGTGGCCGAGATGATCAAGGAGGTCCTCACCGACCTCACTGACGTGGCACCTGCCAATGATCCCAGGAGGCATGTGACTTTCTATCTCATCTTGGCTGTGATTTTGGTGTCAGCAGCTTTCTTCATCACCATGTTGTCCGTGGGCATCTTCAAGTGCTACAAGTGGAGGCAGTCAAAGGAGCTGTTCAACAGCTCCAGGAGCACTCTGTACAGGACACCAGGGCCCTTCCACCACATTGATGCCGTGCGGGGTGGCTTCACGCCACCCAACTTCTACCACCAGGTCTATCTCACCACGGACTCTCGCCAGAGTGATCTCCTGTGTAAAAAGCCCTTCCCTTCCAGCCCCCTGGGGAGCCGACAGAGCACCATGAGGAACGGTGAGCCAGGGCTGTATCACCAGATTGTGGGCACCGCCAGCCGGCTCCCCACACCTGCTGAGGTAATGTAGCTCCTTCCTCAGCACGTCCCAGTGCTGGGCAGAGCCATGTTTCGTTTGTGCCATCCACATATTTTAGTGGATTGGGGTTGGGGGGTAATATCCAGTTGTGCCATGTCTCTAAAGAGTCGTTAGCTATAGATGAACAGGTCTTCTTCAGAGTCAAAGGAGTTGTCCTGAGTGTTGATGACATTTGCACTGTGGTAAGCGGGATCAGTTGAGTCAGTTTGCTCAGGTTATTGAACATATGTCTTTCCGATGCAGTTTTGGATATGCCTTGTGTGAGTAACTGGTGGAGGCTGAAGTCAGCTCGCAACCACTTGCAAATCCTTGGCAGAAAGTTTGCTGCTAATGGTGCTTCCTTCCCTTTGCAACATGAGAGCCGAGGGGAGCACTTGTGGGGTCAGGCTCTGGGAGGGAAACATAGGCTCTCTGCATCATGCCCCGGTGTGGGCTGAGGAGGTGGTGGTGCAAATGGAGCTGGCAGCCACCAGCTGCCAGTGGGTGGACTGGGATGTCGCTTCCCAGAGCGTAGTGTGAAAAGCTGAAGGACGATGCTGGTTCCTCTGTTTGACAGACCGCGGCTTCAGAGCAGTCCTTCCTCCCTGCGTCTCACTTCATGTTTGTCTCCTGATGGCTCCGGTTTTGTTTCTGTGGAAGTTTTGTGGTGATGTTCGCTTTGGGGTGTGGGAGGGTGGGATTGCAGACTACCCCAGTTGCTTGCAGGGTTCCGCTGAGCTGGACTGTGGCTCTGAGCAGGATGGTGAGTCCTCCACCCAGGTGCTGTTTTACCAATGCTATTACAAGCTCTGCATGCTTTGTAATATGCTATCTCCGGGTGTCTCACGTCCTGGCTGAACAAACTGCAGCCAGGAAGGCATTTGCGCATGGCAGGCAGCTTCTGTGCTTCTTCCCTGCTGGGAATTGTGCAGCTTAATTTGAGAGCTTTCAATTACAGGAACGCTTCGATCCTCAGAGGTGAGGCTGAGTAGTGGATCCAGCAGAAGGTAGGGGGATGGGGATGTGATGGGTTTCCAAGGTGGTTGGTACCGGTAATGTGTTCCTTCCTGGGAGGCTGTGAGTAAGAGCGACCGGTTCCTCGGAGCAGAAGGAAGTGAGGTGCAGCGGAAGCTGTGCAGGGGTGTGGGGCTGCGTGTGCCGCCTGCTCACTGTGGCCAAATCACAGACGGAGGCAGAAACCTCTCAGAATTATCTTTTTCCTTTTTTTTTTTTTTTTTTTTTTTTTTCCCTCTTGCGTCACTGCTCAGACTCAGCACTTCTCATGTGTGGCAGGTGGGAACGGCTGCAGCAGCTGCAGAAACAAGTGTTCCTGTGCATTGTGCAGGCTGTGCTGCAGCTGGGGACAAGGATGTCCCCTCCACTAAAGGGTCCTGGCAAGATGCCTCTAGGGGTGGGGGCAGTAAGTGATTCGAGAGTGGGGATGTAAGGAGGTGATAATGGGCAGGCAGTGAGCCTAAGCCCTAGCTATGGCTCCACTGCCACTCCCCAGTACTACACTGGAAAGGCACTGGCTGTGAGAAACCAGCTGGTCTGGCACCGGGCCCTGGATTTTCAGTCTTTGTGGTCAAAGAAGTTCCAGTCTAATGCCATGGGCTGTGTCAAGCCTGCAAAGGCTTTACACCTCTTTGTTTTGCAGGGGATCAGCCAGACCCCAAAACCTGTATGTAGTGCGAATGGTGTTGTCCCCATCTGTGGCAGGTGTATGTTCTGCAGGATCTCTGGTGATCCCTCAGCAACCTGGGTCATCTGTGTCAGAGGCTTTCCACAGGGTGAGCTCTGACCCTTTGGAATGGAGACATCTCCTTCTCTGTCCTAGACACCCCACATCCTTCCTGCCTTGCTACCATCCCCGTGCTGGGCTTTGACAGACCCAAGCAACAGTAGGATCCCCCATGTGAAGCCCATCCCCTGCTCCCAGCCCCTTGGTGACTGAGCCACCCTGGGACACTGAGTGGATTCTCCCAGACCATGTGGGCTTCACAGGGGGCTTCCTCTGAGGCACCACAGCAGCACAAAGCCCCTTCCCAGGGGCACAGCACCCTGTGTTGCCAGTGGCAATGTCTGTCACCCAGCTGTGCTATCCAAGGCCCTGCCTGTGATGGGGACAGGACACATCCCAGAGTCAAGGTTGCTGCGACAGCTTGCTTCTGGTGGCACCGTCGGACGACCTCGGGGGATGAATACGTCCGAGCAGGTCTGTGGACGCTGGGGAATCCCCTCGTCCGGTGTTTTGCTGCGTTGGCCCTTTAAGAATGCCTTCTCCCCTTCCCCGGGTCTAGCAGTAGGTGGGACCCGGGCGATGTTCTGCACCAATCGCAACGTTCCTTGCGCCGTCTCTCCCTGACTGACAGCAGGGTTGTCCCGCCCCGTGGCTCTTGCAATGGGCAGGGAGGGGCTGCACAGGGGAGGGAGGCCCCTCGACGGCAGCGTTTCCACGGCTCTGTCCTCGCCCAGAGGGATGCTGTCCTTGTCCCCGTCCACCCTGCCGGGCATGGGCGCCTCCAGACTCTCTCGCCTGTTCCCCCAGATCCCCTTGGTGCCTGGGTGGTGGGGAAGGGCAGGCTCCTCGGCAGGAGCTGCCTTCCCCTACCTGCCACACTGCTGCAGACCCCAGCACCCCGGGTCTGCGTGCACCCAAGGGAGGTCAGGGTGTGCTTGAGTGCTCTGAGGATGGGACTCCAGGGCATGACTGCACATGGCTTCTGCAGGGATGTGAACCATGCTAACACCCTGCAGATTGCCACCATCCTTTGGGACAGGGAGAGGGGCAAATTATTGCCCTGCTCCGCCTTGGGGAGGCTGAGACCCCTGCTTTTGCCCTCCGAGAGATTGCTTGGCTACAAAGCTGTGTCTGCTGCAGAGGTTCAGTATGTGTGTCTGCCACATGGGAGGCTTGGGCCTCCTTCTCAGTCTGATGTCTTGACCTGATGATGCAATCCAGTGGTGGTCCAGTGGGCTTGTTGGCTGGCTCCGTGAATCTGCAGTGAAAGTTGACACCTTCCTTGTCCCAGAGTGAGGAAAGGGCATCCAGCTGCCTGTGTGTGGGGAGCAATTGCGTTCGGGCTTTGAATGGCTCACCCATCTCTGCCTTCCCACCTTCTACCTCTGACACCCATGGGGGGCTGGCAGGGGTGGACATCCCTGTCTCAGTGAGAGCTCTCTTGGCTGATGGTGGTACTGGTGGCAGTGATGCCTCACTTACAGAGGCAATCCTGGGGTCCAGGCAGCAGTCAAAGAATTAGCTGAGGCGGGGAGAAAAGGAGTGGGAGAAGAGCCCCTGGCACCTCAGGGCTCTAACAAGCACCTTTTCATCAAGCATGAAAAGTCCTTTGGCCCGCGTTCATGACAGCTGCCCTTTGTCTGTGGGCATGATGTGAAGCCACCATTGAGGAAGGGGGAGAGCACAGGGAGGGCTTGTACCTAGCTCCCAGGCTGCCAGGACGTGCAGTTTCCCTGCGAACGGGAAGCGAGCTGTTGGAGCAAGTGACTCAGGCTGACAGAGGGGAGGCCGGGGGTGGCAGCCCCGCCGATGCCGGCTTGGGCCCCCGCTTTCCGCACCTCCGGGGATCCATCGCTGGCCGAGAGGGGACGGAGCTCTCGGCCAATTGGCCGCTGATCTAGAAGCAGGGAGGGGGGGGGGGATATCTGCTTCTCCCCCCCCCCCTTCCACCTCCGCGCTGGGGCTGTGATTCAGTTCCCCTCCCCCAGCCCACCCCCTCTGCTCGGAGGCTGACAGCCGGAGCCGCAGCCTGCCGGAGCCCCGGAGCTGTTTTCCAAGCTGTGGAAGAGAGACCCAGGGATTTTTTCACAGCTCCCCAGCGCCTGCTGCGTCCCGGGCCGGACACGCACACGGACATGGAGAGCGTCAGCCTCCAGCGACCCTCCTGGAAATGGCAAGTACTGAGTTTGTTTTTGCTCTGCGGCTGGGGCTGGGTCTCCGGGCAGATCCACTACTCGGTGGTTGAGGAATCGGAGGTGGGAACCGTGGTGGGGAACGTGGCCCGGGACCTGGGCTTGAAGGTGGAGGAGCTGCCGGGTCGCAGGCTGCGCCTGGGCTCAGAGGAGAGCCTGCGCCACTTCGCCGTGCGCCTGGACAGTGGTGAGCTGGTGGTGAGCCAGCAGCTGGACCGGGAGCGTCTGTGCGGAGTAGCTGCCAGCTGCGTGCTGTCGGTGCAGGTGGTGACGGAGAACCCCCTGCAGCTCTTCCGCCTGGAAGTGGAGATCCTGGACCTGAATGACAACTCCCCGAGCTTCCCCACCACTCACCGCACCCTGCGGGTTGCCGAGTCTGCCACAGTGGCTACGCGCTTCCCCCTGGAGAGCGCGCAGGACCCTGATGTGGGCACCAATGCTGTGGGTTCCTACCAGCTGAGCCCCAACTCCCACTTCTCCCTGGACGTCAAGCAGCAGCAGGATGGCAAACTCTTCCCAGAGCTGGTGCTGGAGCATGCCCTGGACCGGGAAGAGCAGCCAGAACTGCAGCTGGTCCTGACGGCCATAGATGGGGGAAGCCCAGCCCGCTCGGGCACGGCGCAGATAACAGTGCTGGTTGTGGATGTCAATGACAACGCACCCACCTTTGACCGCGCCACGTACAAGGTGCAAGTCCCGGAAAACACACCCGTGGGGGCCCTGCTCCTCCGGCTCAATGCGTCTGACCCTGATGAGGGTCCCAATGGGGAAACGCAGTACTCCTTCGGGGTTCACACCTCGGAGTCAGTCCGGAGGCTTTTCGCCCTGGATCCCCGCAGCGGTGAGGTCCGGGTGAACGGGGCCCTGGACTTTGAGGAATCACCTTTCTATGAGATCTATGTGCGAGCCCATGATGGAGGGGTCCCGGAGATGGAGGGCCACTGTGTCCTGCAGGTGGAAGTGGAGGACACCAATGACAATCCCCCGGTGGTGCTGCTCACCTCCCTGCTGAACCCGGTGCCAGAAGACACCCCACCAGAGACCGTTGTGGGGCTCTTCAACACACGGGACCGTGACTCGGGGGCCAATGGGGATGTGAGCTTGGAGATCTCCCCCGATGTGCCTTTTGCCATCAGGTCCCTTCAGAACCACTTCTCCCTGGTCACACGGGAGAGCCTGGACAGAGAGTCCACCCCACAGTACATACTGGAGCTGATTGCCCAGGATGGTGGATCTCCTGCCCTCACCACAACGCTCACGCTGCTCCTCAACGTATCTGATGTGAATGACAACCCCCCGCGCTTCTTGCAGCCCTCCTATGATGCCTTCCTCCCGGAGAACAACCCTCCTGGCTCTCTGCTATGCACTGTCTCTGCCTCAGACCCCGACGATGGGGATAATTCTCGGCTTGTTTACTCTATAGAAAGTGGCCAAGTGCAGGGTGCCCCCACCTCTTCTTTTGTCCACATCAACCCTGACAATGGCAACCTCTATGCTCAGCGCACCTTCGACTTCGAGCTGCTGCAGGTTCTGCCGGTCTCTGTGGCCGTGCGGGACTCAGGGTCACCCCCGCTCCACGCCAATGTTACCGTCTACATCTTTGTGTTGGACCAGAATGACCACCCCCCCACCATCCTGCACCCTACCAGTGACAGCGACATCCCGGCACCCCAGAGGGTCCCACTGTCTGCCCCATCGGGCTACCTGGTCACCAAGGTGACGGCAGTGGATGCGGATGCTGGGCACAATGCCTGGCTCTCGTACCGCCTGCTGCCACAGTCCACTGACCCCTCCTTGTTCCATGTGTCACTGTACACCGGGGAGGTGCGGACGGCGCGTGTCCTCCGGGACACCGACGTGGCAGCGCAGCAGCTCATCGTCCAGGTGACGGACAATGGCGACCCACCGCTCTCCACCACTGTCACCATCACCGTGACTCTGGAGGAGGCAACGCTGGAGGAGAGCTATGAGCCTCGGGATTTCCTGGCCGGTGCCAAGGAGAAGCCAGACCTGACCCTCTACCTGATCATTGCGCTGGCAGCCGTCAGCACCGTGGCGCTCGCCACTGTCACCCTCCTGGCTGCCCGGTGCCTCCGTCGCAGAGGCCGTGCCGCCGCCTCACCCTGCTGCTGCTGCTGGCTCAGCGAGTCGCCCTCCCGGGACTTCTTCAAGCACTCCAGCCCCAAGCTCCAGCTCAGCTCCGACGGCACCCTTAAGTACATGGAGGTCACCCTGCGACCCACCGACTCCCAGTCCCAGTGCTACAGCACCTGCTTCTCCCCCGGCTCCGACCGGAGCGACTTCACTTTCCTGCGGCCTTGCCCTCCCGCCGCGACCCTACCGAGGGAAACCGGGGTTTTCCTCTCCGCTACCGGTACGCTGCGGGACCCCGGCCAGGTGAGAGCCTAGGGGCAGGGGTCGGTGGTGCCGGTGCGGGGCTCTCCAGGCGCCGTGTGTGTGTGTGTGTGTGTGTGTGTGTGTGTCCCGGGGGCGCGGGGTTCGTGCCGCGCGGCAACAGCCCGCGGGTGGCGATTGGCGCCGGTTGTTGCTGTCCTGGGAAAGGAGCGCGGCGATTGGAGGAGCGGCGCGGCGCTCGGAGCCAATGGCGAGGCGGCTGCGCGGAGCCCCGGCGCTCCCCCCCCCCCTCCCCGCCGCCCACCCCCCCCCTCCGCCGGGGAACCGCGGCCGCCCCGAACAATGAATGGGAGCGGCGAGCGCTGAGCGCGGCCCCGGAGCGCGGAGGGCATCGCTCCCCGGCCGCCCACCCGGCAAGGATGCCGAGGGCAGGGAAGGCGGGCCGGTCCCTGGGACTGCCGCCTGTCTTCTCTTTCTGTTTGTTCTTGCACAGCTCCTCTGCCCAGATCCGCTACAGCATCCCGGAGGAGCTCACCCGGGGCGCCTTCGTGGGCAATATCGCAAAGGACCTGGGCACCGATGTGGCGAAACTGGCGGCAGCTAATCTGCAGGTACTGTCCGATTCGGATTCCCAGTACTTCTCGGTCAATGTCAACACTGGCGTTATAATGGTCAGTGAGCGGATAGACCGGGAGCAGCTCTGCGGGCAGAACCCCCGCTGCTTCCTCCACCTGAAACTTGCCATCGAGAACCCAGTGGAGTTCTACCGCATCGAGGTGGAGATCCTGGATATCAATGACAACCCCCCGCAGTTCCCCAGTGATGAGGTTTCCTTGCGCATATACGAGCTGGCGTCCCTGGGTGCCCGCTTCCCCATCCAGCCTGCCCAGGACCCTGACGTGGGCACCAACACCTTGCAGACCTATCACCTGAGTGCCAATGAGAACTTCAACCTCAATGTGAAGGCACGCACAGATGGTGGGAAGTTCCCTGAGCTTGTGCTGGAGAGGGCCCTGGACCGGGAACTCAGAGCTTTCCACTACCTGGTCCTGACTGCTGAAGATGGGGGCTCTCCCCCCCAGTCCAGCAAGACACGCATCACTATTCAGGTACTGGATGCTAATGACAACCACCCAGTCTTTGACAGACCATCGTACGGAGCCCGCTTGGTGGAGAACTCGCCGCTGGGCACCCTCGTGGTGAAGCTGAATGCCACCGATGTGGACGAAGGGCCCAATGGAGCCATCCGCTACTCCCTCAGCAGCCACAACTCAGCTGCCTTACGCCAGATCTTTGCCATCGATGAGCAAACTGGAGAGATTCGTGTCCAGGGCAACCTGGACTTTGAGGAGGCGACAGTGTATGAGATCGAAGTGGAGGCCAAGGACATGGGGTCGCCCACAATGGAGGAGCACTGCAGCGTGGTGGTGGAAATCACTGATGTGAATGACAACACCCCTGAGGTCATTCTTACCTCCTTCTCCAGCTCCCTGAGCGAGGATGCGCCCCCGGGTACCGTGGTGGCCGTGATACACGTCAGAGACAGGGACTCTGGTGAACAGGGCAAGGTCCAGTGTCACGTGTCTCCAGACCTTCCCTTCCAGCTGCGTAAGGACTACGAGCACCAGTACTCGCTGCTAACAAGCACCCATTTGGACCGGGAGCATATTGCCTACTACAATGTCACCATCTCTGCCTCGGACCTGGGCAGCCCCCCGCTCTCCCACCACACCATCTTGCCAATCGCCCTGGCAGATGTCAATGACAACGCGCCCCAGTTTGAGCAAGCGTCCTACGAAGTACTGGTGGCAGAAAACAACCCGGTGGGAAGCGTGCTGGTTACGGTCTCTGCTGCTGACCCTGACTCGGAGCAGAATTCCCGCCTCTCCTACTCCATCCTGCGAGCTGGTGGGACAGATCCAGTCCTGGATCCAGCTCGCTACCTCTCTGTACATCCCACAAGTGGGCAGGTCTCTGCCAAACTCCCCTTTGACTATGAGCAAACCACCTATCTCCAGTTCCATGTGGAGGTCTCTGATGGTGGCTCCCCGGCCTTGAGGAACAGGACGCTGGTTCACGTTTTTATAGTGGACCAGAATGACAATGCCCCACGGGTGCATTTCCCCAGGGCCGGGGAGGATTCTGCTACTCAGTTCCGAATCTCCCCCTCTACCGCCCCTCCTGCTCTCATCACCAAGGTGGTGGCAATCGATGCAGACTCGGGGCGCAATGCCTGGCTCTCCTACCACCTCGTGGAAGCCACAGAGCCGGGGCTTTTCAGCGTGGCCCTGCGCTCCGGGGAGATCCGGATCACGCGGGCCCTGCAGGAAACGGATGCCTCTGCGCACGAGCTGCTGGTGGTGGTCCGGGATGCCGGGGAGCCCCCCCTTTCCACAGCGGTCGCACTGGTGGTGCTGGTGGAGGAGAAGGGTCCAGAGGCCTTGCAGGGCTCCGAGGCTCGGGCCGCTGACGGTGGGGGCTTGCCCACGATTACACTTTATCTGATCGTGTCCCTAGTGCTCATCTCCACCGTCTCGCTGGTGGGACTGGTAGTGCTGGGCGTGCGGTGCATCCGGCGGGGCTCTGCGCCTGCCAACTCGGGCTACTGCGTGGAGAGCGTGAACACGCTTCAGCCCCCTCCCAGCCACATTTTTGGGCACTTGCACTATGAGCCTAAGCAAGGGGACACGGTGATGGGCGTCCAGGTGACAGCCACGGCACCCCCTGCTCCGCGTTACCGCTCCTGCTTTTCGCCGGTCTCAGACATCAGTGAGTTCATGTTTGTGAAACCTTCCGCGGGTCCAGCCGGTGCCAACCCGCCGGATCCCACCCTGCGCAGCGAGGTGAGCTCGGCAGCGTGTCCCCCAGCCTGACCGCAGCCCCGGCGTCAGCGGGGCTCGGCACCGGAGCGGCTCGGGGTGCGACAGCCCCGGCCGGTTGTGGGGAGGGGGTGCCCGCCGGTGCCTGCTCCCGGCAGCCGGGCGGGGCGGGGCGGGGCGGGGCGGGGGTTCCCGCTGCCGGGACTCCCCGGCGCCCTCCCGGCGCTGCGGAGGCGGAGTGGCGGCGGCGGGGCGCGGGGCGGGGGCTACGCCGTGCGTATTTTGGGGAAGGCGGCGGAGGAGGGGGAGCAGGGAGGAGGAGGAGGAGGGAGAGAAAAAAGGAGGAGGAGGCGGAGGAGGGGGCTGTGGAAAGACGTAAAACTGTCACTCGGTCCATCCCCTCCGCTCGCCGACTTTGTGTGTCTTTGCGTGCCGACGAGCGGCTCAGCCGGCCGGGCTGCGATCGCCCCCCCCGCTCCCCCCCAACCCCCCCTCCCCCCGTTCCCCTCCATCCCTCCCTCTCTGCCCGGCTCCGGCGGCGGCTTCCTCCCTGCGCAACCCGCTCGGACCCCCCCCCCCTCCCGGGCTGCGGGGGGTTCCGGCGCGGCGGCGGCTGCCGGGGGCGGGGAGGTGGGGGAGGCTGCGCGGAGCCGCCGCCGCTCCGCTCCGCGCTGCTCCGCGCTCTCACACCCGGCGCGGGATGCTCGGGGGCCGGAGTTTGCCATGGCAGCTCCCGCTGCTGCTCGCAGCCGCCTTCTGCCTGCCGGCTCCCAGCAGCTCCCAGCTCCACTACTCCGTGCCCGAGGACCGGGAGCCGGGCTCCTCGGTGGGCGACCTGGCCAAGGATTTAGGAGTGGAGGTGCGGAGCCTGGCCGCCCGCAACCTGCGCCTGGTGAGCGAAGGTGGGCAGCGGCATTTCCAGGTGGACCTGGCAGCGGGCGTGCTGCTCCTCGACGGCAGGCTGGACCGGGAGGCTCTGTGCGGGCAGAGCCCCACGTGCTCCCTGCACCTCCAACTCGTCATGGAGAATCCCCTCCAGCTCCACCGCGTTGAGGTGGACGTCCTCGACGTGAACGACAACGCGCCTCAGTTCCCCAAGCCGGAGGTGGTCTTGGAGATCACCGAGGTAGCCAACCCTGGGACTCGGCTACCCCTGGAGGTAGCAGAAGACCCAGATATGGGCTCCAACTCCATCTCCACCTATGAGCTCAGCCCCAGCGAGCATTTCGTCCTGGCTATCAAAGTGAGAGGAGATGGTGTTAAAATGCCTGAGATTGTACTCGAAAAAGCACTGGATAGAGAGAAAGTGGCTGTTCATCACCTAACACTGACAGCCCTGGATGGAGGGAATCCGGTAAAATCCGGCACTGCCAAGGTTACCATCCATGTCCTGGATGCAAATGACAACCCTCCTGTCTGCAACCCACCCATATCCAAGGTACATTTGGAGGAGAATGTGCCGGTGGGCACTCTGGTCACCAAGTTGAATGTCACCGACTTGGATGAAGGTCCCAACGGGGACGTGGAATATTCTTTCAAAACTAGCAATAATGCACCTGGTAAATTCACCAAGCTCTTCTCCTTAGATCCCCGGACAGGGGAGATCAGAACCAAAGCCCCACTGGATTATGAGGAAGCCAGTGCTTATGAGATTGCAGTTCGTGCCAGGGACAGGGGTTCCCCAGCCATGGAAGGACACTGTCACCTGCGAGTGGAATTAATCGATATCAATGATAACAGCCCAGAGATAGTACTGACCTCTCTCTCCAGCCCAGTGCAGGAGGACGCAACCCCGGGCACTGTGATTGCCCTCATTGGTGTGAAGGACAGCGATTCTGGTGACAACGGGCAGGTCCGTCTGCAGATAGCAAAAGAGCTCCCATTTAAACTGGTGTCATCTTTTAAGGAGCATTTCTCGCTGGTCACAAATGGTCCCCTTGATCGGGAGAAGGCCAGTGGATACAACATCACGGTGAGGGCGGTGGATTCAGGGTCCCCACAGAGGGCCACACAAAAAACCTTTTACCTCCGAATTGCTGATGTGAATGATAATGCACCGAATTTCTCCAGCCCTTTTGATACAGCTCATGTTCAGGAAAACTCCCTTCCTGGAACTTCTGTTTTTTCAGTGTCAGCGTCTGATCCTGATGAGGGTAGCAACGCCAAGCTGACTTATTCCATCCTGGACAACGGGATGCAGGATGTACCCATCTCAACCTACTTCCGGATAGACCAGGACAACGGCACCATCTACACCGTGCGGGCTCTGGACTATGAGCAAGACAAGGTGTTCCAGGTGCCCGTCGAGGTGAAGGATTCTGGGTCTCCTGCGCTGAGTAGCACTGCTGTGGTCCATGTGTTCGTCCTGGATGAGAACGACAATGCCCCCACCATTGTCTACCCATCTGTCCCCAAGGGCTCTGCCTTCCACCAAACCATCCCGGCCTTGGCAGAACCTGGCTATCTGGTCACCAAAATTGTAGCTGTTGATGCCGATAGTGGCCATAATGCCTGGCTGTCCTACCAGCTGCAGGAGACGGCCGAGGCTTTGCCTTTCCAAGTGGAACGCCGCTCTGGGGAGATAAGGGTTGCACAGGCTCTCAGGGAGTCAGAAGATCCCCACAGGCTGGTGGTTGAAGTGAGGGACAATGGGACACCGTCCCTCTCGGCCTCGGTGGTGATAGTCATTTCTCCAGAGGAAAACAGTATGCAGGACTTTGCCAAGTCCTTGGACCTCCCCAAATCTTCTCCCAAGGATACCAACCTAACGCTTTACCTCATCATCTCCTTGGTGTCCATTTCCCTCGTGTCCTGCGTGATGTTTGCTGTTCTGGCTGCCCGGTGTCTCAAAGCTGGCACTGCCAGCTGGACCTTTGCGAACTGCTGCCGAGGGACTGGCCGCAAGCCTGCCTCCCATTTCCGCGGGCAGATGAAGCCAGATGGCTTCATCAAGTACCTGGATGTGGGAGGAGCGGGCTTGACCTCCCAGGCACAGAATTACACCTCTTGTTTCTCACCCATGTCTGACCAGAGTGATTTCCTCTTTGTAAAACCTTTCAGCCATTCTAGCACTGCGGAGACGGTGGCTGCCTATGAGCAGGTGACCAGCACTTTAGCAAGTCCCTGCGATGGGGTAAGAGAGGGGTGTTTCTTACTGTCCTGTCTGCTAAGCGCAACGGTCTGTAATATCCAGGCCAGCTGGCTGTTCTCTGCTGTCCTTCCACCTAACAAGGTGGCTTCAGGGCACGTGTGTCGCCGTCATCTCCTGGGAGGTGGCAGGTGGAGGCTTTGGCTTGGCTTGATGGGGGTGGGGGAAAGGGGTGGGCGGCACTGTAAAGCCAAAGGCTGTGTGTTCATAGAAGTGGAGAGTTTTCCCTTGGCCCCGTTCATATGTTTTTCTTTTTAAAGTGATTCTTAACATGGTCAGGAACATGGTGTTTGGGTGTTTAACTTCTTGGTTCTGTTTGACCCCTTTACTCTGCATGGCATACGAACCGCGGTGCGGGAGGAGGTTACCTGAAAGCAGTTTGTCGGTGTTTCTTTTGCTCTGTTTTAGAGGTGCACGGTAGAAATTGTTCACCTTTTAACTCCCAAATGTTATTAATTACTGATTTTGCCCTGGCAAGGGATCATTTTCCGGCTTGATCATTTTAAGTGAGGGGCTGAATTCACTATTCAGCACTGAACGTAGTGACAATTTTCATAAAGATCCTGGTGACCTTATGTGCCCTTGTGCTTGCAGAGACGTAGGCAGCGGCGCGCTTTGAAAACTTTAGCCACTTGTATTCAGACGTCTAAATATAGATGTAGGTGACTGGATTTATCTGTAGCTTTTATAACTTTGGGATATAAAAAGTAAAGCAATTTTGTGTTGTAAGTGCCTGCCCTAAATTTGAAAGTGGTAATTACAACAGGAATTCAAAATATAGACTGAGAAGGGCTTATCTAGTGCAGGATTGTGTGTCAGCGTGTGCAAAAATGTGTGTCTGAAATCTGGAGGGCAAGTATTTAAACAGCTTAATTTACATGCAGCATGGGTACTAGTGGGGCCTCTATTTTAGGGGAGTAATTTATTCTAATATATTCTTTCATAAGAATCATCAAAGCTGGGGAGAAATTAGTGAAATCACATCTACTGAGTAAAAATGTAGGTCAGCTGTACCCATCTTCATTTTTCCTTAATAATTGCACGTACAGGCAGAATAATCCTATAATGTTACTGTTCCACTGTATGGACTATGAACTGCTCATTCCTAGGGTAACTGAGGGAAATGTTGTCCTTTCCAGGTAGCACATTAGCATTCTGGAGTTAATTACGAAGATTACAATTTTCGGAAGTATGTGTCTTCCAGACAGAAAAGAGTTCTGCTATTTAATGCTCTTCACAAAGGCATGATTCAAACAAGAATATGCAAGCCTGCTTTGTGTCCTTCTTTATTTACAAAATGTCCATTGTCTGATGATAAAATAACACAGGCAGAAAGTGATATGGGGGCTTACTAATGAAGTTACAAAGTGTGCTGCTGTGTCCAAAGTTTATTGTGTCTCTTAAACAAATAATGCTTTTTTCTTTTGCTGTCGGAAGTTCATTATTTTCTCTGCGGACAGAAAAAATATTGTAATGCTCCGAGGCCACAGCATCTAGGAAAAGTCATTCAAATACAGTGTGTGAAATCAAGATCTCAGGCAGGCCTTTTTAAGGACAGAAGAAGGACAGATTAGGAAGGTCTGTTATCATTTTACCTTCTGGTATTAAAAGCATCTTTCTCGGTATCAATTAACTCTGCCACCCCACCCCCACCCTCCTCCAAGCTCATTACTTTGGTACCATTGCTTCTGCTGAATTGATGCCCTTATCAGTTTATTTCATGCTTCATTTATTTCACAGCCTGGTTTCCTGAGCTGCTTTGGAAGATTATTCGCTGAATAGTTTTTGTCATGCTTTTTAGTATTCATGCTGTTTCAGAAATACTCAAGAAAGGGGGAGGGGGAGTTTTCTTTTTGTTCTAATTGATTTGCTTTACTTGGAAGGAACACGCTGATATTCCAGACTGAAATAATCCAGGATCAGTTCGCTTTCATTTTCAAAGGCAAGAATGGAGGTATTAAAACTCTTCTATTTTCTCTGCAGCAAGCTCAGCCTAACACAGACTGGCGCTTCTCTCAGACCCAGAGACCTGGAACGAGTGGGTAAGTGCCTCTTTTTCCATGTATGTGTCTGGTGAAGGTTTCTTTCCTTTGCATGCCACTTTCAGTGCAGAAATGTCCTTGACTGGCAGCTCTGAGGACGGGTGTTTCCTGTCATTGGTAGAATTGTCCAGCCAAAGAGTCAGAAATTGGGCTGCTTCTGGGTCAGCTCTGTTTGGTGCTGGTGTCACAGCTGTTGTTTGCAATGGTGTATCTGGTTTCGGTGTCTACAGCTCAAGGCAGACAGTCAGGAACTGGAGGGAACTCCAGGTGAAGTTGTGAGATGGTTAAAGGACTGGAAAACATACTTCACAGAGAAAGGCTTCTTCTCTAAAGCAGATTTTGAGCATGTAGACTAGCTACTGGGTCCAAAATCTTGATTACTGCCCCTGCATGGAGGCCACTGGGAATCACTCTGTGAGTCCCTTTACCAGCCATGGAGCCTCGAGCTCTGTGCTGCTGAAGTGTATTGCCTGCTCTGGCTTGAACACTTAGTGCCAAACCGCTGTGTAAGCCCCCGTGGCAGCCAGAAGTTGACTGAAATGAGCCCCAGGTCCCCAAAAGCCCCTCTAGAGAAACGTGTTCCAGCCACATTAACTCAGCAGGAGCAGGTCCCTCATGCAAGTGCTTTCTCCTGTGGGCTAGCCTGGGTGAATCAGGGTTGGGACCCCTGAATCCCTCCCACTCCATTTGTTGGGGAGTTTGGAACCTTTCTTGCTTTCCTTGGGAAGTCCCATCACTGGCACAGGGTGGTTCATCGGTTCATCCAGGTGTGGAGCCCTCTGCATGCTTCCCACTGGAACTGGGAAACTGGGCAGAGAGAGGCTAAACAAGAAGATATTAAACCTAATGGGTCAGGAGGCTTACAGGGAGGATGCCTCCCGAGGTCTGGTCTTGCTGTCAAAACCATGGCTGAGTTTTTGCCAATTTGTGTGAGACGTCAAAAAGATAAGGAGCCTTGGCAGCAGAACAGAGACCTGTCTCCCAAGTGAGTGCCCCTCTCTTGGCTGGGCACTCTCCTGCCTCTGGCCCAACAAAGTTTGTTTTTCTTGGTCCACAGTTTGAAAACATTGACAAGAAAATGTTGAGCAGCTGTCCTTCACCTCTCCCATATTTCCTCCTGGTTTATAAGCAGGACCAGGGATCCTCTTCAGAGGGTGAACTTTCTTGAGGTTACTGTGTATGAGGAGACTGGCTCCAGGATAATTTATATGTGAAAAGTTTATATCTTTTGGGGCATACCCAGGGATTATACCCTTGGTGCAGTCAGGAGTAAATTTGGATACTGTGCTTCCTTGGCTGGCTGGGTCAGGCACCGCACCTCTGAGGAAAAGAGGGGAGCTCACACCTCTGTGCTCTGTCATTCCTGGTGGCCACTCAGGCAGCTCCCATTGAGGTTTAAATGGTGCCACAAGGAGCACTGGGTCCTGGATTTTGATTTCGGAGTTTGCAGTTAAACATCTGCAGTAGCTGGTTGTGTATGAGTGTTTCCCTGGGTCTGGCTCAGTAATTTAGCTTAACAAAAAATAAAGAGACAGCTATAGCCAACTTGTTGCAGTGCTTAAACTTCGTGACTAGGCTTTTCTAGCTGACAAAGCTAAAATGGAGTGAGGGTTTGATGTAAAGAAGATAAAGCATTCCTACTACAAACCAGGCATGGACTTTAAAACAAGGCTATGACTGGAATAGTTTTCCCAGAGGTCTGTTGAATTCCCTATCACTGACAACATTTTAATCAAGAAAACTCTTTCTAACCATTTCTGCTCTAGTTCAAATGACAATTAAGAAAGCCCTGTTAATACAGAAGTGCGCCAGAGCTGCTGTAATAGTTTTGCCACAAGAAGTGAGTAAATGAGCCCCATCAGAGCAAACTCTGTTGCTCCCTTTTCTAGAATCAAGCTGGAGCTCTTCAAGGCACAGAGCTGATGCAGACCAGGTGTACTTAACTCAGTGACAGGGACTTTTTCTCAGGTCATGGGACAGTGACCCTCACCTCAGCCCCCAGCCTCTGCCTGAAGCTCTTCACAAGCTCCAGCCCTTCCCAGTGTGTAAGTGGGAGCAGCGTGTGGGGTGGGAAGAGAGAGGGCAGGAGGAGAGGCAGCCTCAGGCTGTTCATGAGGAGCTGAACTAATATGACGTGTTGGTTCTGGTGCACAAGCCGTGATGTTACCCCTGATGATCTGTGACCTGGGTGCCCACCATAGTCCCTGAAACAGCCATCAGTGGCTCGTGTCAGTGCCTGTTGTGGCAGGGGTTTCCATAGCACGGGGTGCACAGGCTGGCCCTTGGGTTTGGAGAGGAGATTTGCCCAAGTCCAGGCTGGTACTGAAATAACTCAGTGGATTTTAGTTCCTGCTGGTTTTCCCCACCTGCCTGTAACTGATTGTGTCTCTTAAACAAATAATGCTTAAGCTAATTCTGCAATCGCAATGAAACAGCTCTTGCTGACTTTTTTTTTTTATTTCCTGTTTCTTTTATCCTGTTTTAAATTAAATTAAGGGAGGTGTTTTTATTTTAAACCCGTATCACAATACTATAGGATGGAAATACAAAGTGCTGTATGTTCAGTGCTCAGCCCTGACATCTTTCTGGTGATCGAACAGGCAAATCCTGAAGATCGGTCCACTCCCTGTTGTGCTCTTCCCAACATTTTGACGCCTGGTGTGTGAATTCCCCAGACACTGGTTGGTAGTACAGGTGTATTAAAGAAGGTGCAAGGGCAGCTGCCTGAGCCCTGCCCACTGTTACTCTCTCTGATATCTCATGTACAACTGTGTCTCCTGCTGACAGGCAAACCTTTCCAGCACTGTGAGCTCTCTGAACCGCAGGGCTCTTCTCGGTGCTTGGGGAACACAGGCTACCTCTTAGCTGAAAAGAAAAAAAAGGCATGTGGTCTTAACTGCATTGTCTGACCCAAATTAAATAGCAATAAAGACAAGGCAGCTTAGGCTGGCGGTTTGAATGGATCCCGGAGGGAGTCCAGCACTGACCCTAAGCCAGAAAGCAGGCTTAAACCCATGTTGTGATTTCTCTTTTGCTGTCTTCGTGGGAGTTGGAGAAGGAACAATCCTGTCTTTTCTCAGTGTAGCCCTGCCCCTCAAAACAAATCCCACATGTCTCTGAGCACCTGGAACCAGGCAAAACTCAGGGTAAGCTCAATAAGGCAGGGGTTGTCTCCTGCTCTTGTATTATGTCACTGCATTCAGAGCACTGCTATGGGACAACAAAGAGAATTTAGTTTGTTCTGAAACACGGGAGAGATCTGGTGCACATGCTCAAGAAATAAGAGCTCAGACGATATCCTCTGAATATGTGGTAGGGAGTCAGACCTGAGTAGAGCAATTCTCAATTAATCTTGTTTGGGAGAAACAGGAGAATAGATTAATTAATTTAATCATGTTTGTATTTTGTTTTCTGAAAAAAAAAAAAAAAACCACCCATGCTATCTCTGGGCAAATGTAAATGAATACAGAATGATACCGAGCAGCAGATGCTGTTGCCAGACAAATCAGATCAGTGGCTGGGCTGTAGTGGAGGTTACAGAGATGAATTGTCCAAGGCGAAGTAGACGTACAGTCTGGCAGCATCGCAGGACATCCCTGTGGGATCACAAGTGTGGGGGTTCCCTAGGAGGGGGGGGATGCATGGGGGGAGAACGCTGGGACTGGGACAGGGGACCCATTTTGTTGCTTTTTCACTTGTTGCCAAAGGAACAGAGACAAAGCTTGTGCCTTGCGTGTTCATGGTACTTGCCTGACTCTGGTAGCTCCTCGTCTTGATCTCTGTGTGATGGTTTATTCAGGAAAACAGTGGGCCCTAGTCAGGATTTCCTTCCTGGAGGAGTGGGGCGGATTCTGTGTTGCTCACAGGTGGGCAGGGGAGGGTGAGACATTCCAAGCTGGGAAAAGCCAGTATGTCCTGGGCAGCTCGTGGGAGGAGTGGGGATGATCTCGGTCTGTGTGGGCAGGCTAGGAGATCCCAGGCAGCAGGCACCCCAGAGACTGTGGTGAGGGACTCACAAGGAGGTGGGAAGCAGTGTGGGAATCCCCGGTCACTCCAGGGGAGGGAGGAGTAAAGCATGCAAAGAAGATATAGGATGTCATTTCACACCCCACCCCCCTGCTCCATTTATTTTCTCTAATCCTAAATCTCCCTGTTCTACTGGTTTCCAACACTGTTGTGAGCCAGACTCCCTCTCCCAGGGTGAACACAGTCAACCATGATGTTCGCTTCACTCGCCTGTTAAACAGCATCACGGCCACCCTGTTTGACCCCGGCAGTCATCACCCAGGCTGTGTGGGGGGAGGAAGGACAGTGCAGTAGAAGGGGTTTGCAGCAGACAGTGGAGGTGCCCGTAGGAGAGGTGTGAAGGAAAAGAGGGGTTTTTCCTTCTTTTCTTAATTTTCATGCCCAAGCTCCAAGAGTTGGGCTTGCAGGGCTAATGACAGCCTGCTGGTGCACGGTGGGGGACAGGGTGTGTGGGGGGAAATGTGTTCCAAGGATAGTCCTTAAACCTCTCAGGAGCACTGTAGGTGCGTGGAGTGTGTGGGTACTGCCAAAGGGTGACTGCAGCTTGAGGGGGTCTAGCGTGTGTTTGGGGTGGTCAGGAGGTCCCGCATGACAGCAGCACCCCAGTGTACCACGCTCCCGCCAAGGGGACCCCATATGTGCATGTCTGGGTGGGACATCCCAGGGCAGGCAGCAGCTGGGGCCAGAGGCCAGAGGCAGAGGGACACACGGACGTTCACGGGCTTAAGCAGCACCGAGGCAGATACATGGCAGAAAGACAACTGGCCACAGATGGAGGCTTTAGCACGTCCTTCCTAAAAAAAATTACTTGCTAACCCAGCAGCTACAGGATTGTCTGCAGGTGTTGTAACCCCCTAGGAATGTATGTTACAAGTTTGTGTAACGTTATAGTGGATAGAGTAACAAGGGCTATAAAACATATACACAGCCGCACCAGTGGGGATGTCTGGGTGAACACTGACAGATTTACCTTC